GTACATACTATCACATATATACATACATAAATAAAACAAAATATTTTTGAAAACATTCGAGTGGAAGTCATGGGAACAAAAAGAACACATGAAGAATCAATGAAACACAAAGTTGATTCTTCACAAGATTGACAAACCCACAGTTAAAACTAACCAAAAGAAAAAGATCCAGATTAATAAAATTAAAGATAAAAATTGAGGTATTATAACACATCAGTGAAATACTGAAGATTGTGAGGGCATGCTCTGAAAACCTGTATTCCAATAAACTGGAAAGCTACAAAAAAATGGCTAAATGTCTATGTGTCCAACCCATCAAATTAAATCATGAAGACAGAAACAAGTCAGACAAATCTATACCCAACATGAGATCGAAACAAAAACAAGTCTTCCAGCTGAAAGAGCACAAGCCTGGAAGGGGTGTCTGGGGGAGGGTCTGCAATACCTTCAGGGATCAGCACCAATGCTCCCAAACTCCCACAAAATAGGAAGAGGAAGGACAGTGCCACACTCGTGGTAAAAGCCAACATTACCCCAATATTAACACCAGATAAAGACACAATACCAACTAGTACTGCAGTCAACATCCCAGAGGAACACGAATGCGAAAGTCCTCAAATAGTGGGAAATTCATTTCAACACCCATCAACTGTATCCTTGGCTTGATCTCAGTTGTGCTAGGATGGTTCACCATGTGCAAATCAATGCATGCAACACACCACATGGGTAGATTCAAGGAGAGAAAACACAGATCATGTAAATACATACAAAAAGGCTTTACCAACATGCAACAGCATCCCTCCATGATAAAAACCTTGGGGTGAGAAAGAACAGAACACATACCTTCACATAATAAAGGTTGGCTGCAGCCACATTATACTAAATAAGAGAAAAACGCGAAGCCATTTCCATTAAAACATGGAATGACACCAAAGTCAACTCACTCCTATTTGCCAACAGTATGATCTCATATGTAAAAGATCGTAAGACTCTGCCAGAAACTTCTCAGAACTGATATTTTCAGTAAACTAGCAGAATGCAAAATCAACATTAAAAAAAAAAGTCACTGTCCCTATATACCAGGAATGAACACACTGAGAGAAATCAGGAAAGCAATCCTATTCACTATAGCTAGAAACAAAACAAACAAATGAAAACTTTGAAATAAATCTAAGGAAGGGAAGGACTTCTTCAGTGAAAACTTTAGAGCACTGAAGGAGGAAACTGAAAAAGACACTAGAAGGTGGGTAGACTTTCCATCTTCAGATAAATATTATGTGAGGGAGACCAGCTCCCTCTTATTTCCCCAGGGAGAAATGCGGAATATGTAGATAGAAGTATAGAGGAGAAAGATAGACAGAAAACACAGGATAACCTCGGAAGGGCCTCGGTCCAAATCCACCAGCCCCTTCTGTCTCTTCAAAAGGGCTTTTAATGGAATGCCAAGGGATGGAGCAAAAGACCTCTCCCGAGCACAGCCAAGTGCAGACCATTCCAGACACCTGGTGACCATGCATGTGGTCAAGCCATCCCCTAATGCAGCCCTGCTGTGTAAAGCAAGCTCAGATCTCAATAGGAAGCTTTTGTGGGCTCCCACAATTTATGGATGTAAGAGACAGATCTGCAGAATATTATGAAAAAGTTTATATTACCAAAAATTGTCCTGGCTAGTTTTATGACAACTCAACACAAGCTAGAGTCATCTGGGAAGAAAGAACCTTACTTGAGAAAATGTCTCCATCAGACAGGCTAGTAGGCAGATCTGTGGGGCATTTTCTTGATTGACAATTGATGGGGTGGTGGCACCCCGGGCAGGTGGTCTTGGGTGCTATAAGAACGCAGGCTGAGCTCAGCTGCAGCGCATAGGAGAGCAGGCCCTTCACCCTGCCTGGACAGCACACTAGAGCTGACCCTGTTGTGTGTTGGGGTGGGGGGGTGGGGGGGACAGATGAGCCAGCCCTGAGGGTGTGAGGACAGGAGAGCTGACCCCGCCCCACTCCTATGCCCCCTATAGCAATTGGGAGAGAGGGCCTTGCACATTGTCTGGACAAAACAGTAGAACTGGCCCTGGTGTTATGACTGTGGCCATGTTGGTATCCTAGGAGAGTGCCACTGCCCAGGCCAGGCTGATCTGAATGGCCTGCGCGTCACCTGGGGTCATGGTATTGTCCAGGCCAGTGCTGCTGCCAAGGGTCCACGTCTGGGTCCATGACCCTACGGCAGCCAGGGTCTGTGTTGGTGACCGAGGGCCATGCTGCCATGGGGGTCAAGCCAATCTGAGCGGCCTGCACTGCCATCTGGGGCCATGTGACATCCAGGCCCAGACTGCTCCTGAGGACCATGTCTAGGTCTGTGGTCCTAATGTCCATGGCCCATGGTACCATCAAAGACCACACAAATGCCCGGGGTCTGGAATGCAACCTATAGCCATGCTGGTGTCTGAGGGCTATGGCCATGCTGGTGGTGTCTGAGGGCTATGGCCATGCTGGTGTCTGAGGGCAGTGCCGCCACAAGGGCCATGACAATCTGGGTGGCCTGCGCTGCCACACAGGGCCAAGGGATCATCCAGGCCCAGGATCTGTGGCCCAGCAGCAGCCAGGGTCTGGGCTGGTATTTGTGGCTCCTGTTGCCACCAGAGGATGAGCAGATGCACTGGGTCTGGACAGACACCTGAGACCATCTTGGTGCCTGAGGGTCTTGCTGCTACCAGGGCCATAATGAACTTGATGACTTGTGCTGCCACGGAGGCCACGGTGACATCTGGGCCCAAGCTGCTGCTGAGGACATGTCTGGGTCTATGTTCCTGCTGCAGCTGGCATCTGTGATGATGTCCATGGCCTGTGTTACCACAGGGAATAATAGGAACCACATGTGTTGAAATCCAAGGGCCCGTGCTGAGCTGGCCCTGCCCCTCACTGTCCCTGGGATAGCTGGCCCTGCCCCTCACTAGACACTGCAGCAGGAGGGCTGGCCCCTGCACCACCCCTCACCACTGGCATGGAGAGCTGAGGGGGGCGGTCCCAGTGGCCTTGACTGACCAGCTCAGCTACCACTCAGACCCACATCCTGGGCCTTGGGTTTGTCCACCCTAACATCTACCCCATCTATGACCTGCTGGAGTGCGTGAAGGGACTGGTCCTGCATAATGATAACCGCAAGATATCGAGAGGAGTTTCGGTGAGTGTTAGGTGATGACCGTGTGCCAGAGGCCTTGAGCCAGACCAATGAGTCACTGCAATGAACATTTTGTGGGTGGGACTGATTAAACAAAAGGGTGTACTGGTGACACACTGCAGCTCCCGATGCCACTGGGATGGATGAAGTGGTGTTGGAAGGACGGAGGAGCAGGGTAGTTTGTTTTGTTTTGTTTTTAAATTAATTTTTTGGGGGGTGCATGCTACAAGGGGGAGGGGGCAGATATGGAGGGACCGGAAGATGAGAGGGACTGGGGTGCATGACGTGAAATTCCCAAAGAATCAATAAAGAACTATGTAAAAAGAAAAGCTAAGTATAAGAACTGAGGAAAACGCCTATAATATCTGTCACTACTTAGCAAAAGTTAACCTGGAAAATACCCATTCAAATGGTACAGTTCAGAAGGTTTAACAGTCCCAGCTCTGGTCCCCATCTGAGGTAAGGAATGTGCCCCATACTTCAGCACCAGCTCCAGTTGGTCAAAGGAAGTTAGTGAGGTGCGCAGCCCTCATTAGCAAATCTTACACAGCAGGTAAGGTCAATACGGAAACCTTAACTGGCTACAGGACCAAGAACAAGTGGTGGTCCTGCGCGCCCAGTCCTGCCTGCCTGCTCAGTCCCGTGCCTCAGTCCTGTCTGCCTGCTCAGTCCCGTGCCTCAGTCCTGCCTGCCTGCTCAGTCCCTTGCCTCGGTCCTGCCTGCCTGCTCAGTCCTGCCTGCCTGCTCTATCCTGCCTGCCTGCTCAGTCCCGCACCTCAGTCCTGTCTGCCTGCTCAGTCCTGTATGATCGGTCCTGCCTGCCTGCTCAGTCCTGCACCTCAGTCCTGTCTGCCTGCTCAGTCCTGTGTGCTCGGTCCTGCCTGCCTGCTCAGTCCCGTGCCTCAGTCCTGTCTGCCTGCTCAGTCCTGCCTGCTCGGTCCTGCCTGCGCAGTCCTGCCTGCGCTCGGTCCGCGCTCGGTCCTGCCTGCGCGCTTGGTCCTGCACCTCAGTCCTGCCTGCGCAGGACGGCTATATCATCTCCTCCAAGGCTCAGGGAACATCACAGAGCAGGGGTGGGAAGAAGTAAGAGCCGAGGAAGGGGAAATATGGACATGACGCAGCCGATGCACTCATGAACTCACTGCAGCTGTGGTCATCTGCACAACACTGAGCCCATCACCATTTCATCCTAGAGGAGGGGCCCATGAGGCTCCCGCCCACCCTTAGAGACTACGGCAAGTAATGGTAGCTGGGGGAGGGGTGTTATTTTCTTCAGTGGTATAGTCGTTGCTCCAGTAAATAACCTCTCACCCATACCTGGGCACTCAGTGGGTCACACACACAAAGAAGATGTGAAAGTTGTGGTGGCTTGAAAGAAAATGGACCCCAAAGGGTGTGGCACTATTAGGAGGTATGGCTTTATCGGAGCAGGTGTGCCCTTGTTGGAGGAAGAGTGTCCCTGTGGGGGTGGGCTTTGAGGTCTCATATATGCTCAAGCCACACCCAGTGTCTCAGTTCACTTCCTGTTGCCTTTGGGTCAAGATGTAAGGACTCTCAGCTCCAGCACGCCACCATTTCCCACCATGATGATAATGGACTGAAACTCTGAACTGTAAGGGAGCCACCACAATTAAATGTTTTCTTTATAAGAGTTGCCATGGTCACAGTGTCTCTTCACAGCAACAGAAACCTTAACTAAGACAAAAGTATGAGGGGGACTTGAGAAGAGGGTTCTAGTGAGAGACGCAGGAGAATGGGAGGAGAAAAGGCATGAAAATGCTAAAAACACGAAACTGTCAAATTCCTTAAGGACTTGGAGTCAGTACCTCCATATGATCCATTGCTTTCTGCCACACAGACTGCTTCTCCTCAGCACTATGGCCAGGGATAGATAAGATGTTGTGGATGTAATTGAAGACGTCTTCCTGTGGAGCACAAGACAAGGCATTCAGCCCTCCACTGAAGCAGAATTCAGAGACTGTTGCTATCAGTACCAGCACGATAAACATTATTAGGAGGTGAAAAACCATTTGGATTTGGAGATAGTTTATGGAAACTGGCATTAAACAGGAAGAATGAGATGTAAGCCATAGGTAGACTCTTCCAAGTTCTGAGTCTACTCCACTTACATCTGGTCTCAATTTATTAACCCTCAGTGACCTAACTGAATGTGGACTTTGGTTTGTGGTAAAACCTGTCCACGTTGCCAATTTCATCTCAGATCTCTCTTGCCCTTGTCAAGGATGCTCCATCTGCACTGATTCTCATTCCACCCATGTGATCTCCATCCAGTGCCCTGAAGATGTCCATCTTCCCCAGCTTTGCGGCCTTCATGTCCGCTCCTCCCTGTGCGCTCCTCCCCGTGCGCTCCTCCCTGAACACTCCCCCCTCTGCACTCCCCCCTGTGCACTCCTCCCTGTGCGCTGCCCCCGTGCCCTCCCGCCCCCCCGTGCGCCGCCCCCCCCCCGTGCGCTGCCCCCCATGCCCTCCTCCCTGTGCCCTCCCCCCCCCCCGCCCCGTGCACACCCCCATGTATCTCTATCTCAGAGCTCACCTCTGAGTGGCTTCTCTAATGTCAAGAGTCAGATTACACACCACTCCCTGAGACTTCTCTGCTTGCTACAGTCCCTTGTTTTCCTGCAGAACCACACTCCACCCTGCTTTCCGAGCACACTATTTAATTCTACATTTGGTTACTATCAGTATCCATCACCGAGTTATAGACTCAAACTTCAGGGACTCCACATTTTAATTACAGCAGAAACTCAACAAAAACCAAGTGAATACGGCTGGGGGAGAGGGTGAGGGCGGCTCAGACGGGGTGAAGCAGCTTCTACTTACCTCTCTCAGCGGGTCATGCAGGTAGCAGTCGATGATTTTGTCATACTGGTGTGCTCGCTCATACATAAATTCACAGATTTGATAACTGGAATGTGAAAGGACAGACTTCAGTTGCCAAACAGGCAGGTGGCGATGTGCTTCTGACATTCAGAACTTTACTCAAGCGTGTGTAAAAGGGAATGATGTCATTTTCAGTGCCAAATAAAGATCTAAGAATTTTTATACAAGGGCATCTCAGACTCGGAATCTCACATCAGGGACACAGTAAACACCTGCAAATATTTGAACTCTGCAAACCTCTGGAACCTGTTCCCAGGAATGTCAGATAAGGGTATGTGGTTGGTGTTATGTCTCTAAGAGAGAGGAGTGCCTGCCTCTCTCCTGCCTCCTGCCTGAAGGTGCTGCCGAATGCCATGTTTTCAAAGGCCTTAGATGGTGTGCTGTCTGTTTTCTAAAGAAATAGCTGGTGCTAGGTATCAATAATTTGCAATAACTTGTTTCTTTGTTCAAAACTAAATACAATAAACTAGGTAAGAGTTAGCACACTGTACCTTATTTATTATGCTAAACTGTATATCATTTCTACTAAATATAACTGTCATAATCTAAGAAATAAAAACATCTAGAGCTGGGCATGCATGTGACGCCAGCACCTGGGAGGTGGAGGTGGCAGCAGGACAAACCACGTCTTACAGTGCACACCCCAGGGCAGCTGGGGCTACACAGTAGAACCTGTCTCAAAACACCAAACAGACCGGTACGGGATAAATAAGGTGAAGCACAGGAAGACTGCTTGCTCACTTTCACGTTAAAACAAATATATATTTTAATTCATACGATACATTTCTGAACATTTTGCTAATTTTTAGAATTCATATGAAAGGCAAAAAACAAAAGCAAACCAAAAAAACCCCCAAAAAACAAAAAACTCATGTTTTTGCTACTGAGGCTGCTATTGCTAATGTCCTTTCTTTCTTCCTTCCTTCCTTCCTTCCTCCCTCCCTCCCTCCGCCCTCCCTCTCTCTCCTTCCTTCCTTCCTTCCTTCCTTCCTTCCTTCCTTCTTTCTTTCTTTCTTTCTTTCTCTTGTTTTTTTTCCAAGACAGGGTTTCTCTGTGTAGTTTTGGTGCCTGTCCTGGATCTTGCTATGTAGACCAGTCTGGCCTCAAATGGCCTCAAACTCACAGAGATCCGCCTGGCTCTGCCTCTCGAGTGCTGAGATTAAAGGCACATGCCACCACCACTCGGCCTACGCCCTTTCTTTCTTTCTTTTTTTTTTTTTTTTAATTAAGAGATTTTCTGTTCATTTTACATATCAACCACGGGGATTCCCCTGTCCTCCCTCCTCCCACCCCTCAGCCTTCTCCCAAACCCACCCACCATTCCCACCTCCTCCAAGGCAAGGTCCCCCATGGGGAGTCAGCGGAGCCTGGTACATTCAGTTGAGGCAGGTCCAAGCCCCTCCTCCCTGCACCAAGGCAGCACAAAGTTTTAATAGCAAAAATGCAAAATAAACTAGGTTTCATGTAGGAGAAATAACAGTTCTATGAAAAATTAATATACAGCTTCAACACAGCTCACAATTCAGCCTTTTCTGCCATGCGGATGAGCCGACTCTCTTCAAACTGGACTATGCCTCCAGCCTGCAGCAGTTCTAAAAGGACCTGAGGATTTAAAACAAATGGGTAGAAACACTGTGAGGTTTGTTTTATTTACTAGTTCTCTAAGGTCCATTTACCCATGCCATAACCTTCTATCTTGTGTATTACTACTTGATGGTATTTTGGACTGCGTTCACTACCATATGATGACTCTGCTTTTTAAACATGGAGGGAATACCACAGCATTTTCAGCCCCATACATTCACATTAACCTCTAAATACCTGTATACACCATTGTAAGAAGCTCATTTCTGTTTGTATTTGATATGTACGAGTGTTTTGCTGCATGAATGTGCACCATGTACACATGCGTGGAACCCGTGGATGCCAGAAGAAGGTACTGGATCCCCTGGAATTGGAGTTACAGATGGCTGTGAGTTGCCACATGGGTCCTATTGTAGGGATCTAGTCACTCCATGTAGGGTAAACATTAGAACAGAATAGTTGTTTTCTAGAAGTACTTTGACCTTGAAGAAATCTTGGTGTAAATCAGTGATTGTTTTCTGTGATTTATAGAGTTGTTTTTTCTGAAACAGTTTCATAGCTCAAAGTCCTCACATTCAGAAAGATCAGGAATTCAAGATCAATTGAGCCACATAGTGAGTTCAAGGCCAGCTTGGGCCACATGAGAGTTGCCTCAAAAAAAGGTGACATTTTAATCCAGATGTCATGGTGCACACATATAATCCCAGTACTCAGAATGCTGAGGCAGGAGGATCATGAATTCTAGGCCAGCCTGGGCAACACAGCAAGACCTCATTTCAAAAACAAAGACAAAAACAAAAGCAATAAAAGCCCCAAATACTGATGCTCACATCACTTTACCATAGTGGCCGAAGATCAACAACCAACAGGGTTAGGCTGCAGTTAGGATCTCAGGCCTGCGTGCTGGCTAGGAGGCAGATCTGGGTCACGACCCTTGTCAGGGGGCCAGGAAACCTTCACCAGGAACTTCTTGTTTATTATTTTGATGTTAAGCAAGACTGGCCTGATTTTTACACTCAAGACCCAAACTTAATCCGTTTGGAGCGCTGGAATGTACTGTCATATGCAATAAAAAAGGAATAAAATCTATTCACTCTGTCAGTTTGGAATAAAATAATGTAATGAGTTGAAGACAGTCTTACCAACTCATTACAGCTGACTGCCATCAACAGGAATCTTTGTGTGCAAGTTATTCAATATTATTAAATTAAATTAAACTAATTTGTAACTATGTGTGTTAAAACCAAAGGTAATGAAACTTAAAACTCAGCACTTCCTATGATTTCATCCTCTTTTGCTGTTCTATGCTCTTGAGGCTGGTTCTGCCCACTGCAGCTGCATCAGAATGGGGTGGCGGCGCACAGGTGTGCAGCTAGGCATCTTCCAGTTCCATGCTTTGTAACCACACACAGAAGACGAAATAAGCCATAGTGGCATGCCTATAAATCATCAAAATGCTATTGGAAGTCTTGCTTTTTGAAGGGCTGTGAAAACAAGCAAGCAAAAGAGGGCAGACCTGTTTGTGGTCCATACAACCTGAGATGCTGACTCTTTGGATCTCTGACAGAGACAGTTGGTCAGCCCCTGGTGGAGAGCATGGAGGAAATGCTAATAAAGCAGCTCAGCTAAAAAGTGGCACTGTCTGGGCTAGCAGGGAGGGGAAGGGGCTTGCCCCAAGCCTGACAAGGAGAGAACTGACCCCTGAGAGTTGTCCTCTGACATGCGCACTGCCACTCACACACACTAAGTAAATAGATGCAATTTTCCTAGTGTGTCTGTCTGCAGGCATTTCATTGTGAAGGGGAAAAAGCAGTCCTTTACTTTTTATTCCAAACCGCTGTCTGTGAGGAGTATGGGAGAGAACAGCGGGTGGTGGTGTAGGTGTGAGAGGACGGGTGTGTGGTGTGCAGTGCTGGACAGAGGTATGAAAATGTCAGGGTGAGACCCACTGCCTTAGATGCTAACTAGAAGACAACGATAACAAGCAATGCGTTACCTGATTTGGCAGAGCAGTCAGGTTTACTTTCGCCTTACTCATTTACATAAATTTACATAAACGGCAACGTTCATATCAGAACTGTACTTGGGGGAGCTAATTACTGACTATAGGCACACCACTGGAAAACACTAAGAAATGCTGCATAAACTAAGTCTGCTACGTGACAACCAGTATAAGGAGCCCCGGGTTAGCAGGGAAGAAGTTGCCAAGTCCTAATTTGAATTGTGACCTTGAACGACTTAGTTATCAATTTTCACTATTTCAAAACCCGAGGAGGGAGAGCCATGAGAACAGGGCACCTCTGTAATTAGTACGGCCAAGGTGCTGTGGCTGTTTTTCAAAGTTTGACTTTCAAAGACTCAGCCACATCCAAGCACTACAGCCAAACCCTGAAAAGTAAACACACTTGCTGTGGAATAATCCTTTTGTACACTGCAAAGATTTGTCACTCCAATTGGTTTAATAAAAAGCTGACTGGCTGGCAGCTAGGATTTTCGGGGCAGAGAGAATGATGGGAAGAAGAAGTGCAGAGTCAGGAGTCACCAGCCAGTAAGAGAATGAGTCAGACACACGAAATGGCATAGAGGTAAAGCCAGGAGCCTCGGACAGCACACAGATGAACAGAAGTGGGTTAAGTTGTAAGAGCTAGTTAGTAACAAGCCTGAGCTATCGGCCAAGCATTTATAACTTATATTTAGTCTCCGAGTCAGTTATTTGGGAAGCGGCTGCCAGTTATTTGGGAGTAGGCGTCTGTCAATGAAGCTTTTCATACTAAGAGGTCATATGCACACACCACGCACACCATGATCTGCCCTCACTGTGCATAGGTGTAACATACAAGTTCTCTCACTGTTATTTGTACTCAGTGTAGCTTAACAGGAAACCAAAATGCCGGCCTTGTTCTGAAGCAGTCTGCATTGGTCACTGGGTCATAGCCGAGCAGCTGAAGGGTTCACTGCTGATAGTCTATACTTCATCAGAGTTTCCACGTCTGCACTACACCCAGGAAGGCAGCTCAACAGCCAAAACTCTAAATTCTTGTGACTTAATTACTTATAAAGTTTGGTATCAATTTTAAGTGGGCTGGCTTAGTACCCAGAATGGTGGCCAGTTGCTATACCACTGATTAACTGGGGTAGGGGGACAGGTGGATTCTAGTATCCAGAATGGAGTCCTCCATACAGCAGCATCTTAGGATACCCCCAAAACTGAACATGCCAGCACTCAAGGTCCTGTAGTTTGTGGTTCTGGGACAGAACCCTGAGCTGGAGTAGCATGACAGACACTGATGTTGCTATCTGAAGGATGGGACATGCTGGAAGCAGATAGCTCCACTCGGACTGGATTGAGCAGCCAAGCTCTGTACGCCTCCCTGTATCCACACTGATTGCCACCACCTGTGAGTTGGAGTATGTCCCAATCATCTCCCCTTCCGTGTAGTGAAGCTGCTACAGAAGGGCCCTTTCTGGCTTACTCTGTGTGTCAGAGTACTGATTGACAGGATCTGGGGTCATCTAGGAAGCAAGCCTCCAGGCACACTGGGGTGGGGGTTGGAGGGGTAGAGGTGGTGGTGGGATCTAGATTAGGTTGGCCTCTGGCCATGCTGTGAGGGATTATCTTGATTATGTTTACGGAGTGGAAAGAGTTACCCTAAGGGGGCAGCACCATTCTCTGTGTCTGGGTCTGGACAGCATGGAAAGGACAAGGCTGGCCGAGTACCATCGTTTGTCCCCCTCTGCTTCCCAAGTGTGAGTAACATAACCAGCTGCCTCAAGCCCCTACAGAGAAAACCTCCCTGCCACGATGGACTCCACATGAACTGAAATAAATTCTTTCTCCCTTCAGTGCTTTGGTTAGAGCATTTTATCAAGGAGCATAACTAGAAAAGACTCCCCTTGCCCCCAACCTCCAGCAAAAAGAGTGCCAGTGCTCATACCTGCTGTCTCTCAGAGTGGCGGGAATCATCGTCAGGGCTGCAGAGGAAGCCAAGGACCTGGGCAGAAGTAACAGCAAAAGTTACCCTTCCGGGTCAGCAGCTGATTCTCACTCACCTGTAACAATCCCCACCTTGTACGGCGTTGTCCCAGCCGAGGACGTACTGTGTGAAGCATCAGGCTTCCAGGATGCCTGCAATTCAGCATGTGCCCTATACACATTTTATTCATTCATTCATTCATTTGTTTGTTTGTTTGTTTGTTTTGGATTTTAGAGGCAGGGTTTCTCTTAGCCTTGGCTGTCCTGGAACTCACTCTGTAGCCCAGGCTGGCCTCGAACTCACATAGATCTGCCTGCCTCTGCCTCCAAGTGCTGGGATTAAAGGTATATACCACCACTGCCTGGCTGCTTCTACACGTTTCCTTACTGCTAAGAAATATAACTGAAGCACTTTACTTTAGGAAGGCATGGACTTCAGTCAGGACGCTTGAATCGGAATCCTATCCTAACACATATAATAAGATTTCTGCTAGAAAAAAAATAATAATCTAAGTCTGACTTTAGTTATTTAACCTTTCTGAGCTTTCTCTGAAAAATGAGGATAAATAGACTGATTTTAGGACCTCTGGAAAACTTAGTGAACACACATAGAGCTTTCTGGCTCTGAGAAGTGCTCAGTACTGCACGTTATTATCACTGACTTCTCTAGACAGAAGGTAGCCTTCATACTCCCTGTGGGCACGAAGGGCTGTTCTGACTGTGACTGAGAAACGCCTGGAGAGTCATTTATAAGGAGATTCAGACTTCCCAAAGTAAGCTCTTCTCCAGACGATCAATGTGGTCTTATCATTATCAAAGAGAGACACTTAAGTTAGCAAATTCAGAAGCAAGAAGTTCTAGGCAACTTAGAGTAACCAAATAACTGTTAAGACAGAATAATGATAGGCCATGCTCCCATAATGCTAGGCGTCGGGCAAACTCGTACTGCCCAGAACACATGATTAAGACACACTTGAACACAGTCCTCTATGAACAGAGAACAGAAGAAACCAGCCCCAGGTCTCACTGTTAAAGACACTTACTTGATCAAAGAGAGTTCTGTTCACAAACAAGGTATTGTCGGGCTTTGCGAGCTGCCGGGCGAGGAATGTAAAGAGACACCCCACTTGTGATGGGGTGAAATCTGAATTCTCCACCATAACCTGGTGAGCAAAACAAACCATTTAGGCAATACTCCATCTGGTTTGAATCAAAAGCATGCATGCACATGCACGAGCGCGCGCGCGCGCACACACACACACACACACACACACACACACACACACACACACACACACAAAGATTCTTTCATGAGCTGTACAAGAACTGGGCTCAGCACCATCTTGAGAAGGAACACAGCTACTTGCATATTCTCAAAAACACCACTGAGATGGTTTCTGTCATGTTTCTAGCAACTGATGAGAACTGCATTTCAGAAGAATTCAAAGAAATAACGATGGTTTCTCTCTAGGATTCCTAGAGACGCCTACTAAAATAATTCTAATTTAATTTTGCTAACCTCACTAAAGATCTGCCTATCAACAAGGAAAGAAGGATGCTGCTTTGGGGGTTAGTGATCCTGTGTACAGCAGGGATACAGACAGTGTGGGGAGACCAGTGTGTGAGTGACCTCATGGGCCCAAGGGAGGGAGGGGGTCCTGTGCTGCAGCAGCAGTGACGGACAGGGAGCCTCAGTGCAGACAGCCGCCAGGCCAAGTGTTCCTACACATGGAAAACGTAAAAGTGACACATTTGAGCATGATCAGTAGCTGGACAATCCTGCCATTAACAAGAAAGAATGCAGATGTTTGTGGTTGAAGGTCCTACATGTTGGGGGCTGTCAAGTGGATTAACTGGGGTAAATTTTCCACAAGTGAAGGTAGAGTATCCAGCCATCCACTGTAAGACTTCCAAGTTCCATCCCGTTATCCTCTACTCAGACACAAAGCATGAGATTTTGCCTGCTATGAAGCGGTCCCCCGAGGCCTACTTTCTGACTTACTTTCTTACTTTGTGAGCGACACACCCCCTCCTTGGCCCTCCTGCTTTTAAGAGGACAGTCAGTGCTTGGTCAAGTATACTATCACTGCCCAGTTACACTGGCAAGAAACATAACCCTGAGTTATACACTCCTTGCATATCTACATCACTAGCCAGCTACGTCGCCCCATAACACGTGTTCCAGCCCATGATCTTCAGAGAGCTGTCCACGGCTCAGTCATCACCCTGCTTAGCGTCCAAGGTCCCTTTTCTGAGACTCCAATCTCAGGGCCCAACCAGTACTCCTCTATGTTGTTAGCCCTTCCTTCTGCTCTGTAAGGTCCCAAACTGTCAGACTTTACACATACCTTCCACAAAAGCAGTTCCAACTCACAACAGATTCCTTTGCCAACTCAGCAAATGTCTAACTGATTCCATCTTACAATTTCTCCATTTTTTTTTCCTCCAAAATATTTCAAAGGCCTTAAAAAACTTCCTAGGCATCACTTGGTCTTTTGAGTTTTTCCCTCTGCAACCATATAGCACACGAGCCCGTCTACCTGTCCCTGTCACTCATTTGTTCCCCTGCTCTCAATACCTCCCTCCAAAGCACACTTCCACACATGTACAAGCCTGTCACCAGAAAGCAGTGACCTCTATGTTCACTCCTCATTGATTCGAGGCAGCTCTAACAGTGACGGCATGAAAGCACAGCGGCCTGCGAACAGTCACGGGGAGTTACGGAGCCCCACGGGGAGTTACGGAGCCCCAGTCTCGGCACTGGGATCATCCTTCCAGACCAGTATAGATTCAGATTCAAATTCCAACTTGACCAATGTATAAATGTTTCTTAAACAGCTACTAGATTTCAGGTACTGGAGAGCACATGCTCTGGACATGCTACAACCACAAGCCTCGGTGGATATAGTAAGTACAGTATAACATAATCAATACAATTAATACAGTAAATACCACTAATAATAATCCTTGGTTTCCATCTTCAGAAGGCTCAAGATGAGACAGGACAATCTGTAAACCATTGCAATACACCGCGCAAGTGCAACACACGGTATCCTGAGGACATAAAGGAGCTCTGCCCGGCCTAGCCGTGTGTAGGAGGACACAGAAGGCGGTCAGGAATCTGACAGAAAGGGAGGGAAGGAGCATGAGTGGCTGAAAGAAAACCCACGCAAAGGATGTAAGTCATGACGATGACACAGAAGCTTGGTGACTTCAATAACTTAGCATGGGTGAAGAGCATGCAGAACAGCATGCGTGTGGAGGTAGAGGGGATGAGAGGGAACGGAATCAGTGATGGAGTAGCCAGGGATTATAAAATATAGAGGCCCTTAGATGTCATATGAAACCACTTCAATGGACATAGCGAAAAGTGCTATATACTGGGCCATAGTTTAAATACAGCTTGTTCCCCAAGGTGTACGAGCTGGAAGCTTGGTCCCACTTGTGAAAACAGTGGAATTTTTGATAGGCAGGGTCTGGTGGGCAGAAACCAGGTCATGGCAGACATTGCTCTGTGACGAGGCTGATGCTGAGCTGCCCTCAAAAGAATACACCTGATCCCTACAGTATCTCCCTGGCTTCTTGACTCTCACACCCACTGACGCCATGCTGTAACACAGCCAAGGAGACTTTCACCAGAAGCCAAACAGGCAAGGCTACCCAATGCTCTCAGCTTCCAACGCTGTAAGCTAAATAAATCGTTTTCTTTATAAGGTCCTCTGGTCTGCCTGATGGTAAAAGTGCACTAACATACTCTCTCGTATCTGTTCTTCCCTCCTCACTGATAAACACAAGCTCTAATTTTTAGCTGAGCATATGGCAACCCATAATGCTTTGGTCTCTCTTAGTAGCTGTCAAAGTTCTAGATAACATACAATAAGCAGATTTAAAGTACGCAACTCTGAAGGCATTTCCTTAAGGACACATTTCCTTCTGAGTCTTTCTGACACCAGCTTGCTAGCTGCAGGGGAACAGCTGGCCCCGAACAGCTACACTGAACCAGACAGAAACCATGTGCTAAGTGTAATAGTAACAAAGCAAGCTCAGTCCCTGGAGGTTCTGAAGCCACTCCACTGGATCAGATTGCCTATGTCCAGCTTAAGAAAGAATAATATATTTTCATAATAGGCTATGTCACTTTGAGTTATCTCACAGGTACAGTTTAATTGCAACTGATCTAACAGAGATCTACAGAAAAATACGAGCTAGACGAAAGGCAGGTCTACAAATAGGTAGACTCTCCAGGAATGTAGATAAAAATTCTTTACATTAACCACCTGGATTCATTTAGCTGACTTTATTTGAGAATCCAAAAATGTTATTCTCATAGTCATTATTGCCTATCTTACAAGGCTAATAAATAGCTACATTGAGATGATGCCCATACTGTGTGCATGCCCTGCATATTACAAAGAATATTACAGCTGTAGTATGTTTGTGCCACATATAACTAGAGGACATTTTAATTCTGGCCTCTCAATCAAAGCAATCTACAAGGAAGGAACCTCTATTTTATGGGCAGATGAAGAGTGATAACTCTAAGCTTTCAACGGAAACCCTCTGAAGAGCTGCGCCAGGCACCCGCCTGTCTCCGCACACTCACACAGCATCAGCACAAATCCTAAAATAGGCCTTTGTCGCCTCTGAGGCTGGGTTGAGATAATCCTCAAATCATTTTAAGTGTCACCCATCATCTTAATGCCATGGCAGAGCATGGTACTACCATAGTAACCAACTAAGGCTGGAAAGAGACAGGGACTTTTGGCATTAATTATTTCATAAAGCTGTCTCTATTATTACACAAAATCATACTAATAAAGTGATTACCAAAATAAATATTTCTCAAGATTCTCACTCTGTACCCCAGCATCCAGTCTAACACTACAACACAGGAAGCTTTTTCAATTAATCATTAATATTTCATTCAGAGACCATGATTGGAAAAAGTATAGAGACAACCAGCCAAATTAGTGGAAACACATGAACTGTGGACCAATAGCTGTGGAGGCCCCATGGTACCGGACTAGGCCCTCTGGATAAGTGAGACAATTGTTTAGCTTGAACTGTATAGGGGGTCCCCAGGCAGTAGGAGCGGGACCTGACCCTAGTGCATAAGCCAGCTTTTTGGAACCTAGTGCCCATGGTAGGACACTTTGCACAGCCTTGGTGCAGGGAGGAGGGGCTTAGACCTGCCTCAATGGAATGTACCAAGCTCTGCTGACTCCCCATGGGAGACCATGCCTTGGAGGAGGTGGGAATGGGGAGTGGGTTGGGGGGGAAAGCTGGGGGGTGGGAGGAGGGAGGAGAGGGGAATCTATGGTTGGTATGTAAAATGAATAGAAAATTTCCTAATTAAAAAAAAATATTTCATTCACCTCTTGAGGACTAAACACCATAATATAATACGAGCACTGTAAAAAATGGCTCCACTAGACAGACTATTTCAAATCCTGCTATAAAAATTTCAATTAGTTTAATATAGTATCAATCAATAGAAAGACATGCAATCTTTGAATACTTGCTTTCAGTAAAATATCCACAATGCGTTGTTGGTATTCCACAGCTTGCTTGTCATTTTTAAAATCTTCAAAGGTCTAAAAGAGAGAAAGACAAAATTTAAAGTCAGTGTTATTTGCTAATTTTAGAAGGAGACAAATTACTAAATACCCCCTCTTTAGCAAGAAACAACTGAATTTATTTCCTTTTATAAAATGATGCCTAGATGATCATTAAAGTATTTTAGAAACAAAATGAGGAAGACCTTTGTACTCTGATTTTTAAGGAATATTATCCAGTAACGTCTTCACCTCAGATACATTTTTGTGGAGAAAATATGCTTTCGGAATGTTACCCACCCAGGTCAAAAGTAACTGGAGTTTGGTACATGAGTCCAAATATTTCAGATAACAAGAATGGCCATTCCTGGGTGATGCTTCTTATGCTACATTTCCACAGAAATGACATGGTGTAAAACCCACACAAATTCCCAAATAAAATAACCATTACTCATCAGGTTCTTTTTGTTGCTGTTACTTTAAGATTTATTCTTGCTAGGCAGTGGTGGCACATGTTTTTAATCCCAACACTCATGTGACAGAGGCAGGCAAATCTGAGTTCAAGGCCAGCCTGGTCCAGGACAAGCCAGGGCTATTCAAGAAACCCTGTCTTGAAATAAACAAAAAAAAAAAAAAAAAAGATTTATTTTTAAAGATTTGCTTTTACTATTTTAATTACATAATTATATAATTACTTAATTATATATTTTATATACACACATAATTACACACACGCACGCACATGCGGGGGGGGGGGTGAGAGGGGGTGTGGGGGGGTGTGGGGGGGGGTTCCACAAGAGAACAAGTGCTTACAGAGGCCAGAGGTGCTGGATGGCCCTAGAGCTCCAGGTGGTTGTGGTCACCTGACATAAAGTGCTGGCCCCCCCTTTTTAAGATTCATTTTTTATTTCATGTATACGAGTGTTTTGCCTACATGCATATGCATCTACCACATGCCTACCTAATGCCAGTGGAGGCCAGACAAGGACATCAGATCTCCTGCAAATGGAGTTACAGATGGCTGTGAGGTGCTGTGTGGGTGCTGGGAATCGAACCCAACTCCTCTGCAAAAGCAGCAAGTGCTCTTAACCACTGAGCCCACTCCAGCCCCAGTTATTTCTTATATTTAATGAGAATATATATTTATGAAATTAAGTAAAAAGCTATAGCATTTAATATTCATGACATTCTAAAACCTTAAGATGAATATGATATATATAGAGAGTGTTATTATACTTCCAAAAAGTGTTTGAGGACAAAGACAGACCATGTTACAGAACACCAAACAGCAAGGGACTGTGGATGGAGCATGGAGGTCTTTATGCTGACAGATAAAACCATAGGAGAACCTGGAATGTTCAGCACATATGGTTGTCCTTTAGCAGAAGGAATGCAAGACCTCTTATCTTCCCAGAAAGCTGGGAGCAGACATGCTTTCTAGCCTGGTGACCTTTGCACTATCTCTGTGGCTGGAGACCACACCAGACCCTCCCCCAGACCATTATCATAAACTTGTTTTTCTCTGTCAATCCATTAGAACCTATTTTGGTGGGAAATTTTTAAGTAATCGTTATTTGCTAATTTTAGAAGGAAACAAATTACTAAATTCTCTCCCCCATCTCTGTACTCAATGTATAGAACTTATCTTTACAGAAGGTGCCCATGTACTTTACAAAGAATTTCAACGTAGCCATGTCCCACCTTATTTACCTTACTTTGCTCCTCGAGGAGATTTACGTATCATTTGTTGTACACATGGGATTGAGTTAATTACCACAGTTCTGTTGGAGGCTCCGCTTCAGCGCCCCTCCTCCCCCTCCAAACCCTGCCCATCAGAAAGACTGCCAAACAGTAGCTCCTCCCCCAGAGCTCCTCAAGACAGTGCTTACAGGGTATTTAAGCTCCGGTCCATAGACCTTCCCCGTGATTTCTCTCCTGCTCCCACCGAGATCACCTGGGAGTGCTTTGCTCAGATTAAACCAGGTCTTATTAATTCAGCTTGATTTGGCTTACTGCATCAGCGGAGAAACCTAATACCAGGGATTCAAAATACTTATCACCAAATTATGTTGTGCTTAAATATGCCTAAAATAAACCACTTGGGGTCAGATTCTTGAAGTTTGAACCAACACCAGCTACTGAACTGTGTTGACTCGAACTGCCTTCGTGCCTCCCTCTGCAGGCCTGTGGAGGTCACAGAGACCCATGAAGGGCTGGGCAACCTAGAACCAAAGCCTTAGGACAGACGGGTGTGACGCCACAGGCTTAGTCACCATTCAGACTAGTACTTGGAAATAACTGAAATGCCAGTTACTGTCATGAAAAATAATTTTCATGATTTCTACAATTAAGAAAAAAGGTTTTCAGGGGTAGGCATTTTAAAAATACTCAGGGTCTACAGCTGTGCAATTCACAATAGCCAGGAAATGGAACCAGCTTTGATGACCATCAACAGATGGATAGAGAAAATGTGAACCGTACACACAATTTTACACAGCCATAAAGAAAAATGAAATTATGAAATCTGCAGGAAAATGAATGTAATTGGAAATCATTACGTGAAGGAAATAAGCCAGACTCACAAAGATAAATAATCCATGCTTTCTTCCACACGCAGAACCTAGTTTTACAGTGTTTGTGCATCTGTGTGTGTGCGTGCGTGCGTGCGTGCGTGTGTGTGTGTGTGTGTGTGTGTGTGTGTTTATAAATACATGTTTGTGGGACAAGGAACTAGAAACAGGGTCATGGGGAGGTCGAAGAGACCATCAGGAAGTAGGACAGAGAAAGGTGACGGACACACGTGAGGGGACTTACTGGATAGAGAAGAGAATCGGCTGGGAGGAGGGCCACGGGAGAGAGGAACAACAGATCAGAACAAAGTACAATGAATGCATGTATGAAGATGCATGAGGAAACCAAGGACTTAGTATTAGAACCTAAAAATTAATTTTAAAACGTATTCTAATAACAAAAAGTGTAAAAATAAAGAAAAATAATGATGATAAAGCTTCCAAAAGGCCAAAAATTTTAAGCCTAATTACCAGGATGAGTTTCCATATTCTCCAAACAGTGCCAAGCACAGCACTTAAAAATTTTATATTATTGCCTAATGTGTTCTGAATGTAATATGCGTCAAAAACCCTGGGTTCTGGGTGGCAGCATGTAACAGTAGCATGTGACACAAGCACTAAGTCCATGCAGGACTACCCACAAAGGAACAGAAACTGAGTCACACCCAGGCACACTGAGCAGGAGTGATAAAAGACCCCGAGCATCTCCTGCTGTTTGCACTTAGCACCTCTGGTTCTGAGGAACGTTAATTAACATAGAAATGATGGTTGCTATATTCTTGACCAAGGAAATAGACTTCATGTTGTCCCAGTGGAGTTTTAAAAAGATCTGCATGGCACGGGCTTTCAAGACTGTCAGCTCTATTCAAGCCAGAGAACTTCTAGTTTTGAAATGGACCGTGAATTTTCTCCAACTTCTTGTTCCTCTGATTGGCATGCCCTTCCCTTCCTATTTCTGCATGGCACATGCCAGGCACTTTACAAACAACCACTGAAAACAAACAAAACAGCTTTCATCTGCTCTCTCTTGGGCCTCCTGGCTGCTGCACCTGGTCCCCCACTACTTCTTTCCCCTCCCTCCCTCCTCACATGGTTCTGGGTCATGTCCACTCTGGACTCTCCCAGATGTCCCTGCCTCTGACTATGTCTCCCTTTTATCCAAAATAAACTTTTTCCTCCACTATTAAAAAAGAAAGAAAGAAAACAAATAAAACAAAAACAGCCATTGAATTATCAAGTTAATTATTTACACAGAAAAATAAGAGAACAAAGGAATAATTAATCTCCATTAATCTGGAAAGTTCAACCAGAAGATATTTCTATACTTAAATATGTCCCTGCCTGAAGACAAGAGGATGGGTAAGAAAATATCTTACTTCTATCTTCTGACATTAGGACATGAATACACACACACACACACGAACACACACACACACACATGAACACACACAATCTCTCTCTCTCTCTCTCTCTCTCTCTCTCTCTCTCTCTCTCTCTCTCTCTCTCTCTCTCCCCACCCTCATCCCAGGCTGCTAAAGTGAGATGTCACTGAAGATACAAAGGGTACCATTTGCTATAAAAATATTATTCAACTATTGAACTGATTTATATCCAAAGGCACGGAGAATTAACAGGTGGTCTATAAATAGTGAGAAACGAAAGAGAATTTCCATACGCATTTTCCTCTCTGCTGTATCCATTCACTGCTTTGAAACACACACTCAAAGTTTGTTTCTATGAATCTAACAAGGTGGTGACATAAGAGTGTAAATGCTATGATACACATAATGACATCCTTTGGTAGCAACAGCTGTCAAAATGGCATATCACTGCTGGAGTAGCTCTCCACAAAGAAATGTAGATCCAAATCTCAAGTTCAAAGTTGTCTAGGAATTTGGACATAAAAAAATTAAAGATTAATATGAGGTTCTGGATGATAATGGTGGCAAGGTAAATATTAGCCAAGGTCAACAAACATTCTATGTAAAAGGCGGGCTGGTAAACATGCCGTGCATTGTAGGCTACAGGTGGTCTCCATCACATAGTCTTTACTTCTTTTTACCACCTAGTAACACATTCTTAACTTGTACAGGTTTGGGGTTAAATGGGGCTGGACTTAGTCCTCAGACAACTGTTTGCAGAGTCCTGCTCTATCTCCTCACAGACACCCCCAAAATAAAATAATGTAAAAATAAATAGAATAGAATAGAATAGAATCACTCTCAAAACATGTTTAAAGGCAAAATTAAAATGAGAGCAGCTATCAGAGCCTTCAAATGTCATGGAAATGGATGGTGAATGTCTCCTGGCCTGATCATCCCTGACTTCCTGTTAGTTCTCTTCCCTTCCTCCATATGCAATTAAAGTTAAAGCTACTGTTTGTGGAGTTAAATGATCAAATTTAACCAACCCAAACTATGAAGCAATGATCCTTTCATTAGCTTCTTAGTAATTCAATCAGTTATATTGCTGTAACTTATAAAAGTGACATGTGCACACAGAGAGACAGGCATCATCTGACAGTTACTGTTGGCACTAAGATGCACATTTTCTCCAAACACTGTGTCTGTAAGTGTTTTATATATTTGTGAACCTGATAACTTAACTAACTTAACTCACTAACACCATAACATAAGCACTTTCCATCTTACCAAAAGCTAAACAAAACAAAAAAGAACAATACAATACTATTTAATTGGGAAGAGTCAGTACATTTTATACAATTATTCCCCTAGATGATTATGTAAAACAGAAGACCCAGCTTATCTGAATTCACCTCTAATTAAACATTTATGAAGATGCTTTTCCAATGGGGACCCTCCACAGTCCACTCAACTGCAGTTAAGTCTACTGCGCTCATCACATCTCCCTCAGAGCCTCACCCATACTGTGGACACTAGTAACACACTGTGTGGAATCAGAGGTCGCACCACCTAGCCAAAAGCTTTTTAAAAAACAAAAATGTTGGGCTGGAGAGATGGCTCAGCAGTTAAGAGCTCTGACTGCTCTTCCACAGGACCTGGGTTCAATTTCCAGCATCCATATGGCAGCTCACAACTGTCTCGAACTCCAATTCCAGGGGATCTGACACCCTCACACAGACATGCATGCAGGCAAAATACCAATGCGCATAAAATAAAAATAAATAAATAATGAAAAAAGTGCTCTGTTTTTATAGCATTTTACAAATACAAAACAACCACAAAAATGCTCGTTTTTGTTTCTGAGGAGAGACAACAGCAAGAGAAGAGCTGCAGGCAGAGTTGAGGGGCCCAACAGTCTGAAGCGTTTCAACTCCTGACTCACCGGCTAGAGCAGTACTAGGTGCGGTTCTTTTCCTAATTCACAAACATGTACGCACACAAATGATCTTTGGATCATTTGAAAATCCCTTAAGAATCACAGGGCCCCTTACCAGTGCCAATACATTCAGAAATTCTCTTGTGTCAAAATGTAGCAAAGTCCGAACATAAGGATAGACTTCTTCCTCGGAGGACGCTTCTACGGAATGCAGACGAATCAGAAACTCAAACACCTGCAAGTTAAAAGCAACTGTCAAGTCTTTTCTATCATCTTACATCTCACTGGAGCGAGGATTGCCATGTGGAGAGAACAAGGGCAGGCTGAACCGCCCCTTTAAACTGCCACCATGTCACACAGTGTCTCTTTTAAATCCTCTCTTAAGCAAAGCGTTAAAGCTGGTGACACTGTAGCTTCTTGTCCTCGGAGTGGAGTTCCTGAGCGATGTTTAACCTCCAGCAGCAGCTTACCTTCGGTCAGTATACTGGCTAGCTTTGCATCAACTTAACACAAGCTAGCGCCAACCGAGAAAACCGCTTCCACAAGCTCAAGCTTCGGCAAGCCTATAGGACATTTTCTTAATTATTTATTGATATAGGAGGGCTCAGTCCATTGTGTGGTCCCCCTGGGCTGGTGGTCCTGGGTTCTAAGAGAAAGCAGGCTGAGCAAGCCATGAGGAGTAAGCCAGTAAGCAGCACCCCTCCACGGCTCCTGCATCGGCTCCCGCCTCCAGGTTCCTGCCCTGTGTGAGCTCCCGTGCTGACTCCACAGTGACGGAGTGTGTCGTGTAAGCCAAATAAACACTCTCCTCTCCTAGCTGCTTCTGTTGATGTGCTAATCACAAGAGAAACCATAACTGAGACAGCCATCTTAAGGGGGTAGGCAGCAAAAACGCTGTGAAAATAATACTCACCTGGTTTTTAACCAAGGGAACAAGATCTTCAGGGATGTCACCAAGGGGGTAGGCACGACCTGCCAGGCAACAGCTAGAAAACAAGAAGAGATCTGAAGCCTTGAAAAGGGATAACTTCACGTGAGCAATAGTTTCAACCCTGAGTTCTGTAGTGACGCTGACTCAACTTTGGTCAGGTCAGGTTCAAAACCAGGTCACTGCTAAGGACAATGCGGTGCACACTCCAGAGGCCGGAAGGCAGGGTCAAAAAAGATGGTAAGAAGGCTGCAGTGACTGGTGCAGAAGGGAAGCGGACACAGAAGCTGCCTTCACAGGGGAGGTTTACTGTAATTAGAGTTCCTCAAGGCCATGATGGGGCCTCAAGGTGGAAAGAAAACATTAGACAGAAACAGTACAATACAGAGAGCTGAACACAATGGAGTCTTAAAGGGAAGGAGCAGTTTCCCTCAAATCCTAGAGATGCCTTGCATTAAGAGAATGAAAGTGAGTGAATCGGGAGGGGGCAGAGAAGGGGAGGAGGGAGGAGAAGAACAGGAAGAGGAAGAGCTACCACAAGCAGGATGGGGCGGGGAGGCCAGAGGAAGCTCTACAGACAGACAGCTTCATCTTTGGCTGTCCTCATCACTGGTCCCTGAGGACCAATCCCCAGAACAACGGCAAGTTCTGACTTGCTAAAATCTTTTGAGAGTGTGAGAAGTTTGACCTCATTTGAGTCAGCACAGCACAGGGTACCTGACAGCGGAGCACGGTGGAGCCAAGCACCATAAACCGAGAGCTGTCAAGTCCCAGCATTGCCTCTGAACTCTCCATTCCAGGGAGAGCTGGAAGGAGGTCTGGCTTGACTCAGGCGGTGGGGTCACGTCTCAGGGTGCAAGCTCACATTTTAACAAAGACTTCTGAATATTTTCACCAGAAAGCTTCCAGAGAGAACTGTATTAACACTTGACTTAAATGTCACATTATAGCCCATAAATATACATCATTTTTATGGTTTCAGTGCTATTTAAAAAAAAAAAATTAAAAGATGATAGTTCAGAAAACACTGGTGATGGGGGCGGCCCCTTGTATCCTGTGCCTGAGCAGAGGCCTCCCTTCCTGTACTGTACTCAAGGAAGGAGGTTTGGACCATAGGCCATCCAGTTCATAATTGATACAAGCCTCTGTGTGTTTACTTGGGATCAAGCAGCTGCAGGATGCGGGAGGGAGAGACAGGAAAACTCCAGCTACACTACATCAAACACCTCAGACTTGGCATCTAGAAAGAACCTAGCGTTACCATTTAACTATAGCTTGCCTGTTAGAGGCCTAATACTCTCCGAGACTTTTAAACCAGAGGTTTCACGATGGTGGGTAAAACTCGGCAATGAGCCATGGTGATGAGCACTGGAGAGAGGGCCTTTTAGGGGGAGTCAGATCCGAGAAAGGACTTGCCCTGTGGCTTCACCTCTGAATCAGAGTTTCTTTTAAAAAAACTGATCTTAATTATTTATGAACATCTGAATATGAATATGGGGTAGGAACAAACTTTACACCTCTAGGAATCCGTCATCAATTTTTAATAATAAACAACTTGGTACCAGATATTCTAGAGTTTAAAATATGATACTAAAGTGCTAGGTAACTGTTGCTATGTTCTTACTGGTGAATCAAGGTAAGAAGTGTGAAATTGCTCTCAACGTCTACTCCAATGCTACGGGAACTAAAATGATGCTCTGAGGGGATCATCCACTTCCCCACCTCCCTGCCAAGTGGCCCCATGGCCAGTTCTACCAGGACTGAGCCTCATACTCTACTGGGATGAACGTTCTTCTATGGGTAAAGACGTAAACAGTACAGTTTTACCTCTGCCACTAATGTCTCTGTGACTTAAACAAACCTCTTGCCCTTACATGTAAAACAGGGGTAACACACATCACCCAGACTTTCTGATAGTAAAAGGAGAATATACTATACAGCAGGTATATTCTATACTCTCAACCAGCAACAGAGAATTCTTTGCTAAGGGGACTATGCTGGGCACCGTAGTCTATGTGCCTGGTCCTTTAGGCCTATCAGGAATAACACAAAATGACTTTGGATATTGCCAGACATGGAACCTGCTCTACATAAAATAGCTTTGAAAGAATGAAAAACCCTACACAGACAGGATACTGTTACCACTTCAAACACAGGGAGTCAGGGGACACAGTTAGATACATCAGAAACCTCTCACCTGATATACACCAGGAGCTTGTTACCCATAACAACTTGCTCATCTGGAACAGAAAGAAAAGCACTTGGCAGTTCACTCTCCAATCTTTTCAGAACTGTAACATTGATGTGGGGAAAAACTCTCAAAGTTGGCTTTAAGATGAGGTAAAATACATTTCCAAATAACATAAAATTGAGATGACAAATTACTGTCACGTGTTAAATTTCCCATTAGATTGTATTTGTAGATACATGTAGAGCTAAATAGATGCTTACGAATTCTTGTTGATAGCCTGGGAGCAGGGAAGGGGGAGAAAAGCTGATGAACTGAGATGTAGTTATGGTGTGTTCTCATTGGTTACATGAACACCCACCACCCACAGCGCACAGGGCTCAGGAGGCCATGTTTCCAAATGTTTATAAAGTAATAAACCTTGACTAAACATACTGTTCTAAACTATGTTAAGAGATTCCGTTATTTGGTAAGACTTTTAGAGCACCAAAAAGATAACTGGATGAGTTTTTAGCTGGGGGGAAAGGTAGCAAAAGATGGAACACCATCAATCGGGTGAAGTGATTGGGAACACTACGGCGTGAAGACTGAAGGAAGATGGTATTGGTAAAGAAGAATGGGTATTTCTGGTTTTATAACATGAATCCTGGACATAATTCAAGTAAGAAAATACCTTTATCAGTAATCTTCACAAATATGAAAGTCTGTAATGTTCCTACAAATAAAACTGAACTTCTCAAAACGACATGAATAGCTACCTTTTGCTTTAATTAAAGGTGCTATTTGATCCACCTCAACTAGTACGGCACATGACAGCAATCACCTCACTGATGCACCAAGTTCAGGTTTACTGACTGACGGTGTATGTTTTTAGCGCATGTGTGCATGCATCCATGAGTGCATGTGGGCAGGTTCGAAGACAACTTCGGGAGTTGGAGTCAGTTCTCTCCTTCTACCATGTAGGTCTGGAGCTTGAATTCAGCCTTGGCAGCAAGAGCCTTTACTCACTGAGTCATCTTGCTGGCAGCAGGTTATGTAAATACTTTAGCTGTTAGAAATCTCAGCAAGAGTATATCTAGTTCAGAGAACATTCCTAGAGAGCTGAATTTACTTATTAGCATGCCCCTCTCCGCCATCCCATTCCCAGGAGCTCCTTTGGAGTGGGAAATCTGTGATCTGTACTCTAAGCAACCAGCATAGTGTCTGACACGCAAGCAGGTGATTGGTGGATGTGCAGAGCCTACAAACAAGATCGAGATCTGCTCTCCACTGCTCAAGTCTTCCCACTGTGTTTCTGGTGTAAAAACTCAACAACTCCATTTAGATTTTTCAGTGCTATATTCCCTACTCATTTATGGTAGATACATGTGTGAAAACCAACTTTCAAGCCTATTTCAATAATACCAGCTTTGGGCTGTGATTAGATATAACAGATTAAGACTGAACAAAATGACTCCTGCCTCCATTATTGTAAACAAGCAAAAAACCCTGCAAGCCTGCACTTAATACACAAAGTAACTGTGCAGGTTTACTGTGAAGAGTAGATGCTAACAACCTGAGGGCACCCAGAGTCCTTTTCTCCTGAGGCCTTTCCCTTAGGGTAAGCGCACCATGACCTGCACACCTGACACAATACTCAGAAAGACTTCGAATTTCTCTGGCCTAAGTGACAGACAGAGATGCCGAGAACGAGGGCTATGGCTGCAGCTTGGTGGCAGAGCACTGCCTCATCTTCAGGAGGCTCTACGTTCAGTGCACAGTACCAACCTGGCAGCTCACTTAAGATCCATTCTTAGTAAAACTGGCTGACAAAATGGAGGAGGAAATACTCCGTGGGGTAGATAGCAGAATCCAGACTCAGCACCCTTCCGAGAGAAGAGCACTGCTCTTAGGGCATTCGTGAAAACCGTTGCTACCCTTGAACACTGCCTGAGGTACTGCTGTCACTGAGGACAAAGAAGGCCTTTTCAAAAGGATAATGTGGAGGATGAATCTGCAAGTGTTTAAAGAGTCCCACCTGTTCCTGGAATCTCAGCAACACTGAACACACAAGAGCTGCACACATATCCAGGGAGACCAGAGACAGCGCTACTCACCACCGGAGGCTGACCCTGAAGCTCCGCCCATGAAGGCCGAAGGAAAACTCTCACCTGCCAGAGAACTGATAATCCTAAGGAAAAGGAAACAAGCAGTCTCCCTGACCTCTGTTAGTGGGAGCGGCGTGGCCTGATATTCTTGGGTGCACTCAGTCTTATGGCCGTGACCTGACACTGAGGACGGCTGCCATGAGGTCCTCACAAGTCCCAGCAAAGTCAGCCCCACACTGCTGGACTTCCAGAACTGAGGACTCCGGAAGAATCAAGACAACTACTGAAGCAAACACAGGAAGGCAGAAAACAGTCTCCCGTAAAACACACTGTCTGCCATGACTGGGTCTGGACGCTGTGGCCCTGAGGAAAAAGTGGCGAACTGAATTGTGGGTGGCACTTCCAGAAGGAAAGGAGATGCAAACAATATCATGAGAGAGCAGAATGTGTTGCAGAGGAGCTGAGAGCAGAGACAACCAGAAAATCGTCATCCCAGGCCTGGGCTGTCTCGGATGAACCGGGAAGAGGGCCATGCACCACAGGTCCGTGCCAACGCCTAGGCTACACTGAGCACTTTGTCAGAGGTGTGAAGTCCTTATCTGTGCTTGCTGCCCACTATCTACCAGTTTGTTAACTAGAAAAAACTTACAACAGACAGACAAAAGTCATGTGAGATTCCTGGTCAAAGATGCTGGGGGAAAAGGATCCAGATAAAGATCAACAGGTCCTGACTGTCTTAGATAGGGTTTCTACACCATGATCACAGCAACTCGTTTTTTTTTGTTTTTTTTTTTAAGATTTATTTATTATGTATACAGTGCTCTGTCTGCATGTATCCCTGCAGGCCAGAAGAGGGCACCAGATCTCATGACAGATGGTTGTGAGCCACCATGTGGTTGCTGGGAATTGAACTCAGGACCTCTGGAAGAGCAGTGAGTGTTCTTAATCTCTGAGCCATCTCCCCAGCCCAACAGCAACTCTTATAAAGGAAAACATTTCACTGAGGTGGCAGCTAACTGTTCAGGGGTTTAGTCCATTATCATCATGGTGGAACATGGTGGCACACAGGCAGACATGGTGCTGGAGAAGTAGCTGAGAGTCCTGTATCTTGAGCAGGAAACAGGAAGTGGCCTAAGACACCGGGCATGTCTTGAGCATATGAGAGCTCAAAGTCCTTCCTCCAACAAAGCCACACCTCCTAACAGTGCCATTCCCTTTGGGGGTCATTTTCTTTCAAACTACCACACTGACTCTGTCACTTTACAAGTGACCCTGAACTGTCCCACTGGCAAGAGAGTGTAGGTCCTGCACAGGCTTAATGAAAGCAGCCACAAGAGAGGGCTGAGAGGTTCATAGGTACCGCTATCCTGTACAGTTACTGATGGCAAGTATTAGGAACGACCCACAGAAGCAGCAGAGGAGCTCCAGCAAAAGACCACAGTTTTTACACTTCATTTTAAACAAAATGAAGTTTTTGTTCACAGCTTGGCCACCACAGTTTATCTCTGGGTGGCCTGAGCAGAAGCTGGTGTGCCCCTGATGGAGCAAAGTGTAAGCAAAGTCCTTCTTAGGTCTGTCTTCCCAGTTTCCCAGGACAAAGGCTTCGGAATTCTAAGGCTTGCACTGTGTAACTTAGCAATTTTCATAAACATTAACTTCCACATGAAGTCAAAACCTTCGAAGGTAGTAAGATGCAGCTCACAAACTTTTGAAAAGCAATAAAAAATTAATTTATATTGTTGCTTCAGTTCAGCTAAATGGCAATTAGGCGAGTCTGGTAGGAATCTACTTTCCCATTTGAACTAAAGTAATTTTGGTATATAATGCCACCATGAACAAAAGACATTCTGATAATAAACAGTTATTAAGCCTTTAGGAATTACTTCACAAAAGGAGCTAGGTTATATTAAATTTGAAAAGTTAAATATCATCATAATTATAAGCAATTTGAGGAGGTCCCATCAAACTGCCATTCATCCAAATGATAAACATTTTCTGAAATATTAGCTATAAAAACTGAAAAACTGAGGCATGAGACAGAACAAAGAAATAGCAGTAAGGATCTCCATACCAGTTTTCAGTAAAACAATGACAGAAGACAGGCAGGACATGCGAGACTTGAACAAAACCATAAATCAATACCAGAACACTCCACTAAACAGAATACTTTCAATATGTTCTCCAGTGTATTTGAAACACTCTCTAAAACAGACCAGATACTAAGCCATAAAATAAATCTCACTACAGCTTAAAAGGCAAATATATAATCACATGCGTTTTCTAATGAAATCCCTATCAGAAGAAAATGGGGGCGGGACTAGCCGCATGGTTCGGTGGGAGGAGCACCCGCTGTGTAAACACAGGAGCCTGAGCCTGGATCCCCAGCACCACAGAGAAGCCAGGTACGGCCGTGCACACTGTAACTTCAGCACTGCCAGGCAAGCCCCCAGAACTGGCTGGCCACATCCGAGAACCCCAGGTTCAGGGAGAAAGCCTGTCTCCAGAAATAAGGTGGGGGAGGGCCGGCACAACGGTCAGGGTTGAAAGCGGTGAAAAGTACACACGCTGCGTGAGCCTGGTGGCCTGAGTGTGACCCAAGTGGAGGAGGAAGGAGAGAACCAGAGGACTCTAAGTGCTAGCCTCTGCCCTCCACATGTGCGCTGTAGAGCATGTATGCCCCCCCCATCAAACACATCAATCACAATGTAACAGAAATCTTTGGAAAGAGAAAAAAGTCATACCTGTGAGAGCTTTTCCTGCATTCAGAGGAGGGGCAATAACTTTGAAAAGTTTCTAAATTCAAACAGAAAAAGCATCATCGTTTCAAAGCATAATATTTTTAGAGATTATCAAAAACATTGAAGTTATTAATCCTTTCTTTGATGGAGTTAGTTACTTGCTGTTGAGCTTAAATACAAAACTTACTACGAACAGAGCTATGTGGAAGAATCACCCAGGAAATGTTGAAGCCACACCCTCATTTAATAAACGCCAGCTACAGGAAGGTCTTGGTCGAGGTTGTGATTTCTGATATAAAAAGCATCTTAGGCTCTGAAAGAGCTTTATTATTCAAAGACGAGTCATCAAATGAAGGAACAGCATCACACCAAAGTGATAAAGACGACTTTGCACTGGAAACACATCTCAACAGCTGCAGCCCCAGGGAAAAGCACAGACCTACGTCACCTCAAACGTACGGACCCCAGGGAAAAGCTCATTACCTACGTCACCTCAAACGTACAAACCAAAAGTGAGCTTTGCCAGGGTCTTCCAGAGGAATTCTTGTCTGGTTTTGGAGATAAGATCTTACTCTGTAGCTTAGGATGGCCTATAACTCATAGCAATCCTCCTGTCTCAGCTTTAAGTACAGGGATTCTAGGTATGAGTCACCATGCCCAACATTCCTGACTGGAAAGAAACTAACTTCTTAAAAAGGCTTTTATGAATGAATATTTATTATTTGAGACACACAGAGTAGGTTCCTTAAAGTTATTTATATTATTCCCTCATCCCCCTAGGATAATGACTAAAAGCCCTTACAGAACTGCCCTGATGGCTCTGGACACGCAACTGCTTAACAGTTCAACTGCTTCATGCCCTTACTGCCCTCATACTGTAACCAAACACAAGACTATTTACCACGTTTACGGCAGTTTCACAAGCTGTGCTTACAATTTATTTTAATCCACCTTACTCTGTTTTTTCATTGAAAATAAAATTTAATACAATATATACAATAAACTGTAATATAATATATACAATAAAACTATACATGTGTGTATATGTACATATATTCTGATCACAGTTTCCCTTCCCCAAACTCCTCTGAGATGCTCTCCTCCTCCCCACCTTCCTCTTCTCTCTTTAGAAACAAACAAAAAAAACCCAGATTTTTTTAAAAAGGTACAAAAAGAGAAAAAAACATGACACACACACAAAATCAGAAACCATAATATACAAGCAAAGAGCCAGTAAGATTTTAAAATGTCCAAACAAAGCAATATGAGACAATAAATCTCAAAAGCCCATCCACTGCTGGGCCTGGGGCCTGCCCTTACGTGTGGTCTGTGTACCCAGTGAGACCCCACTGCACAGACTGTTAGCACCAAGAAGTGCAAACTGTCTGTCCATTGGCACCAGGAAGCCCGGGGGAATGCAAACTGTCTGTCCATTGGCACCAGGAAGCACGGGGGAATGCAAACTGTCTGTCCATTGGCACCAGGAAGCACGGGGGAATGCAAACTGTCTGTCCATTGGCACCAGGAAGCACGGGGGAAAGGAAACTGTCTGTCCATTAGCACCAGGAAGCACGGGGGAAAGGAAACTGTCTGTCCATTAGCACCAGGAAGCACGGGGGAATGCAAACTGTCTGTCCACTAGCACCAGGAAGCAGGGGGGAGAAAAATGGAACAGACACCTACAGTCTCAGTTCATCCCAGCTACTCCGGTGGTGGAGACAGGAGGAGCCCAGGATTAGAGGCTAGCCAGCGTGGAGAGATGCTCACATTATTTAAAGGGACACAAGCAGAAAGCTCTCCTCTGGAAGCCCTAACTCCGCCCCTTCCCTTTAAGGCCTTGGGTGTGTCAACCTTTCCTTCTGTCTGTTCTTAGAACGACCCATTAGTGAGTGTCCACACACACTGGAGAATTATCCATCCTCTTCTCTGCACACTGCAGTCCCTTCTCCACTGCCCCTTTATTCCCTACCACCACTCAGACCTAAATTAGTAGAGGACTTTCCATCCAATACAAGGCACTAGGGGGATTTCACAGTCTTTCATCCTGGAAAATGACGGGAGCCATAAGCCTAAGTGACCCTTGACCCACATGCCGCCATATTTGGGCTTCTCTCCTCTTTTTCTAGATCTAGGCCTTGCTTAAGTCTCCATAGCACCAGAACCTCTTCTATAAATACCAGAACCTCTTCTCAGAAATCAGGTGACCGCGCTGCAAGAATAGATAATCCACACAGCAACATTCCCTGTTGGCTGAACAACCCATGATTAAAGTCCCCTCCCTGCCTGTACCCCACTTTGCCCCTGCCTACAGATGCCTTAAGAAGAAAATAAACTTTTGGAGCTTGTTCAGACGTCCTGTCTTGCTCTCATTCTTTTGTCTCTTGTCCCTCTCATTCGCTGGCCCTCCCTTTAGGTCCCCGTTGAAGACTCCGCTGGCCGGGGCAGGAAAACCCAGAAATTTTCAAGATGCAAAATGTCTTTTAATGTAGACCTCTTCAGTACTAAAACAGCTAAGCCCTACATACTGAAAAAAAGGAACCACTGGATGAACCTAATGCCTACTGTTTGTGTCTCCAAACTGCTTAATAACAAATTCCAGGTTGCCCCTACCAAAACCCATTCAAGTTGGAAACTACACTGAACTAAAGAGAGGCAAGCTCAAGCCTAATGTCCCACCTGAAACATAGAGGTAGAAACATAAACCAGACTGTAAACTGTTAGTGTCCTGCAGAAGCCCTACAACAAACCACTATTCACGTATGCAATCAACAAGAGTGTTTATTATTCCAGCATGTGGGGACCTGCCATCCTACACTGAGGCAAAATGATGACAAGCCCAAGAGAAGCTCGCAGGCTCCTTTTAAGATTAGCTAAGGGGAGCTCCTAGGGCAGTTAGGTCATCTCAGATATAATTGGCTTAAGCAAGTGGCAATCATATTAGTATATTCTAATAGGCTAGGGCTAGTCAGAGGCTGGTTAAGGCTACAGCTTTTCCTTTTTGGGCTGGCCTGGATAAGTCCCGGGCTTTGTGCTTTGAGGCTAGCTGGCCTAGTACGTGCTGACTGTGGGGGCTGGCTCAGTGGCCCAGGCTTGGTACATGCTATCTCCCTTGTCTCTGCTGTCAGAGGCACTGAAGACTGATTGTCCTTTGTTCATGGCTTCCTCAGAAACTGCCTGCTCAGTTCCAAGAAGCAGGAACAGAGGCCTAGTTTTTAACTGAGTTATTAGGATGGCTGTCATGATATTTGCTTGGCCTCTCATAAATAAACAAAAACATATAAAATAAAATTGTCAAAAGCAACATAAAAATACAGCAACCACTTTAATTTTTTAAATTAATTGATTTCTATGTGGGAGTATATGGGTGTACCACAGGATGTATGTGTCGGTCAAAAGACAACTTGTGAGAATTGGTTCTCTGCTTCCAGCATGTAGGTTCCAGGGATCAAGGTCAGGTTGTCAAGAGCCTTTACTCACTGAGCCATCTTACCAACCCTACCTCGACAACCATTTTTATCAATGTGGAATAAATGCCTCAAACTGGAACTGGTTTTAAAGGAATTGTTTTGAGAAAACCTGGAAACTACATTAATTCTTCCTACTGTTGGTCTAGAAGTGGCATGAGAACACTCCACAGGTGAGGAAGGACGGAGCCTTGCTGAGGGGACAGCTGATCCGGTTAAAGCAAAGAACAGATTCTCATATCATCCAGTCGGGGTTAGAAACTGACCAAGAGAAAGGAGTGTGACCAAAATTGAAGGTATTGTGCTCCAACAAATGGCAAAAGAAGGAGCGACTACTGACCAAACAATACTAAAGTGAGCGTCTAGCTCCTCAGGGTAACTTTGTCATGACTGCAACAAGCAGGGACTGAGAAGGCCACATGTGTCTGTAGCCACATCATCTACAGTGACAAGATGGCTGCACTCAAAGCCTCTGCTTCTACATTCTCCCGTGAGGTCTCCTGGGAGACAGCATCATCATGAATGCCTTAACACTGGTACTCAGCAAAGCAGCACAGGAGTGTTCCCAGTGACTCCTGACTCCTCTCAGGACCTACCCACAGAACATACTCACAAAACAGCACTGCCCAACAGCACTTCATTTGCTATCATAATCATAAAAATTTCTTAGACCTTCTGGGAAAGTTACATAAAACACAATAGAACTTAAAGTTAAGAGTAGGCATTATTCCTGTCTACTGTTCCCTGGTATTTAAATATTTACATATGCCACTAAAGACCACTGAGACTAAAGGTGCAGCTCTGTGGTAGAGAATGCACAGAGGTCCTGAGTTCAATCATCAACAAAAGATTAAAAAATTAAATACCACTTCAAAGTCCCGAGGTGAGGGGCCAGTGAGTGGATGGCTCAGTGCTGAAGGCACACTGGCAGCCCGAGTTTAACCCCCAGGATGCACGTGGCAGAAGAAAGAGAATACACACACGCGCGCACACATACACACACACACACACACACACACACACACACGCACACACACGTACGCACACACCCTCAACATGCACACACATGCCTATCCACACATAAACACACTAACATGTATGTACACACACAAACACAATAAAAAAATTATTTTTTTAGAGATGGGCATGGTGGCACATGCCTTTAATCCCGGCACTCGGGAGGCAGAGACAGGAGGATCTCTGTGAGTTCGAGGCCAGACTGTTCTACAAAGTGAGTTCCAGAACAGCTAGGGTGGTTACACAGAGAATCCTTGTCTTGAAAAACAAAACAAAAAAATTAATTTTTTAAAAAAATGAACAGTTCTAATAAACCGATATAAAATTTTTAAATGATCAGATGAAAGCAAGCTATTTCAAGTATACAACTATAGAGTAGAGGGACATTAGAATATTAAATGCATCGAGTTAGAAAGTGTCTTACCTCCATTGGGCTAATAAACTCATTCATGCCTCTGTTGTAGACATAGATCATGGCATCATACAGACGATTCTCCCAACACATGAGAACCACCTGTAAAGGGGAGAGTCTCCTGAGTCATGTGACACCAACGATTTTCCTTCCAACTCAGGGAATGAAGACCTTTCTCTTCTCTAAGTTTTCTTACTCCTTCTTCTCTGATGGAAACTGAAATTTAAATCCTCAAACCCAATGAAAGGGTGTTACTGCAGGCTCAGTATTAGTTCAAACAGTACAATAGCTACTTTAAAATAGCCCTCAACTTCTGATTTCCTTTCTTTGTAACCTTCTCTCCTCAATATTCATTTTACTTTTAATCATTAAAACAGTCTTCAAAAGTTCACAAAACATCTCTTTAGTACTAGAATAAAGCGATTCAGAAACATGCAGCCTGGAGCTCTACCTTCCTAGAGCTTACACTCAGCTTGGACACCCATCGAAGAAGACAATAAAATGGTGTAAGTTAAGACTCATCAAGAGGGACATATGAGAGGGTCTGGAGGGAAGAAAGGGAGGGGGGAAATGATATAATTATATTATAATCTCAAAAATAAAAGAAATAATGAAAAGACTTGTAGAAGACATTCAACTAAACACACGCGTGCACACACAATCGCTTACGATTAGATAAGCATTCCAAAGGAGCCCGACTTCCTCTTCAGCATTCAAGTTACTCAGAACAGCATGAGCTGAGGCCTAAGGACACCCGGCACGTGAGCCAGAAGACATATGACCATGAGGGGCTGCATGGGCAGGAGACGGTAAGGACGGGGGACTATACAGGAAAGGCTTGTGGCGTGGGTGAAGGAAAAGAGCGGACGCCTAGCAGAATGAGGTCCTTGTTTTCTGTTCCCATGAGGGCTGTGTCCCATCATCCACTGTCAAAACGACTGGAGGAGAATGGCTTGGCAGAGACAAGGACAAGTGGCCAGAGGCAGAAGTAGAAAAACAAGAGGTATTTGTAGGATTTCTACCCTCTCTCTTTCCTTAATATGATGGACATGTCTTCCACCCTAACCCCCCTGCCCCATCCAGCTGCTTAAGATCTTCACCAAGATGTCTAGCAGCTATCACAGAACAAATGGCAAGTAACACTCCTGCCTCTGCCTCTCAGAGTCGGACTGCTTGTCTTCCAATTATCTTCAGGTGATCACTATTCACCCTGTCTGTAAACAGGGACATTTTTACATTCCCTCATTCCCTCACTCATACATCCTCACACCCAACTTAGTCTCCAAAACGTCAGATCAAACTGGCCTTCTCCACCACACTGACCTTCTCCATCATCTACCATCCCTGGCAGCAGAGTGATTCTGCTAAACAGTCTAATGATTTCTATACAGCTCTCAGAACACAGTGAACACATCTTTCCTTTCCTGGGAGCTCTGCTTCTAATCATCGGCCTCCAGATCTGCTTGCCTCTTTCCCGTCATTTTACACACAAGGCAGAGTCTCTTCTCCCCTTTACATTGTTTTTTACCTAAAATGAACTTCTCATCCAAAATACATGCACCATTGACTTCTTCTCTCTGTGTCTGAACGCCTTTTTTTTCCTTTGAAAGAGAGTCTCATGGATCCCAGACTGGCTGTAGTCTGTCTTACTCTGTATTTGGAACCTCTAATCCTCCACAACCCCAAATCCTGGGATAACAGACACGCACCACCACCCTCAGTTTTCTGATACCTTCTGTCTGTCAGAAAGATCCTCTGTAGTCAGGCAGCCTCGGGTAGCCGATCTCTACGACATCGGCCTTTTGATTTGTAATCTAACACTTGTTTTCAAATAACCTCTGGTTCGTTTACTTATCTTTCTGCTTACTGCCAAACTTCTCTCCTTAAATTTAAGCTTTATGAAGAGGCACGTGACACCAGGATGGCTTCAGCACCCTCAGAGCCTGACTCACAACAAGCACTATGGAAGGAGTTGACAAGTGCTGCAGATGAAAGAAACTACAAGAAGGGTTTAAACGTATTATTCGGGGCCTGGAGAGACAGCTCTGTGGGTACAGTGCTTGTCACGCAAGCTCAGGGAGCTGAGTTTAGTCCTCAGCATCCATGGGAAGAGCCAGGTGTGGTGGCGTACATATGATCCCAGCACCAGGGAAGTGAGGACAGGAGGACCCCTGGAGCTCTGGCCAGCGGCCCTAGCTTAATCAGAGAGCTCAGGTCCCAGTGACAGGCCCAAACAGAAGGTGGGTACTTCCTAAAGAACAGCACCCAAGACTGAGCTCTGACCTCCGCATCCAAAGATACACACCAGCAGAGAGAGAGAGAGAGAGAGAGAGAGAGAGAGAGAGAGAGAGAGAGAGAGATCAGAGCATATTTATAGTGTATTTAGAAAAAGCTGAAAATCCTGGGAAGGAATAAAAATTTCTTCTAGCTGTGACAGTCATCGATGGACAAAGTGATATGTTCCCAAAACACCGAGCTGTCGGCAGACCATGCCATCTACACCAAATCACCCACATACCAAAAAGGCATGTGCACAGAGAACCCTGCTTTACCTCAAATGCTTACATTAGGAAAAGAATAATGGTGTTTCCAAGCTCTCTTTCTGAGGGATCTGAACCTTTAGAAGGGACTGGCCCTCCTAAGACATCTGAAAGCCTCTCAGATCTTAGCTGGAGAAGCTTAGACACTCATTATGAGGACTAATGAGAATTAAAGAACTAAACTGTGAAATGCTTGAAGCAACAAAACCGACCCTCACATAAAAACCGAAAGCTCACCATCAACCACAGGCTGCCGACTTGGTCTAAAAATCCCTGTCATTTCCTCTCACACCTCTCATTTCAAAACTCAATTCTGCTTCATGTACTAGCTGATTTTTAAATGACATTGTTCTCTTAAATATAAGAAAGGTCTTTATTAATGAGAAGGTATCCATGGTTGAAAACAACCTGCCAGATGAAAGCTATGTTAGTGAACAAACTGAGAGAGTCAGGCAAGAAGCATTTACTGGGTGATTTAAAGAAGAACTGCCAGGAGCTCTGAAGAGCGGTCGAGGATCACTCTCTGGCTTGGGGGCATTTTTCTCCTCATTTCTACTTACATGAAGTCCTAAGAAGTGTATCAATAAGCGGAAGGGCTCACTAACAAGGGTCTGTGGAGGGCAGGGAGCGGCCTTATTGGTCAGGTAAATATGATCAGGGAAGGAACAGTGCTTGCTCAAGCGGGCAGACCGTCAACTCACCTGCTGAATGTCTAGGCTGGTGATGTCCATGTGTACAATGAGGGCTTCCACATTTTCCATTAGCTTTTTGTCTTGGAAATGAACAATCAAGTCTTTCATGACCTGGGGTGTAATCCCCACCAATCTGTCACTTAAAATGTAGGGCTCGAGGCACTCCAAGAACACTCCTTTTGCCACTGAGTTTTCACTTAATTTGTCATACATTTGGCTAAATAAAAGATCCCTACAGCGGAAAGGAAAAAAACAGTTAGCTTTAGGAACATTCCAAACACCCATTAAACTTAGTCTAAGTATGTCACATCTTCTCCAAACTTCAATTCACACCAGTTTAATAGAAGCATTAACAATGTTTGCACTGAACTTCTCAATAGCGTACAAAGCAAATCTTCCCAACAATTCTTTCCAGCGTAAGAGATGCTGGCAGACAGGGTAGTGCATTCCAGTAATCCTACCACCCAGAAAGCTGAAGCAGGGTGATTATCAGTTCAAGGCCATCTTGGACTAAAAACAAAACTGATTCCGTGCATAAGGAAACTTGCCACTAAGCCTGGAAACTTGGATTTGATCTCAGGTCCCAAGGGTGGAAGGAGAGAGAGAAACGATTCTGCAAGCTTTTCTCTCACCTACACACTCAGGCTGTGGCATGTTCTCCTCACCAAAACAAACACATAAATAAGTATAAAACCAACGAAGCTGACGGCGTTCAGCAGCTCGCTGAAAAGCACGCTGCTCTCTGGCCTACATCCTGTGTTCAATTCTTAGGGCAACTGCCTCTTATGGCAGTGACGGCGACAGGAGTGGACGGGTAAGAGGGAAGACATGACGGAGTGGACAAACTACCCAGGGACGCTGCACCCTTCTCCCACTTCCGACACCTAAACACTCTTGTGAGCTGCCAATGAGCTTCCTCTGTCTAATCCTTCACGTCTCCAGGGAAACCACAAGTTCAGCGAACAGCACCGAAGTTAACGGAGAAGACACTTCTGTGCAAAGGGCAGCGTACAGTGCCGGTAAGACTCAGGCAAGACCACTCGGAGCTAGGATCAGAAAGCAAGAACCACCAGACTCAGTAACTCCGATCCGTATCACTACCTCATGATAAAAAGGAAACAAGATTCCACAACACGATCTCGTTATTCTGGGAAGGAAGAGGAGAGAAAGGTACACACACAGTTTCTACACTTAGTCTGTATTCTCTGGGGTGCTGACGTGTTTCCTGAGGGCTAACTGCAGCCCTGCTGTGCACTATTTCAGGCTCACCTCCTAGAACAAAGTCCATTATGAATAATAGATGAGGTTCTAGAGGCGCCACTTTTACTAACACTCGTATTAATAGATATGTTTTAGAGAGCTTGTTTTTTTTTTTTTGCTACAAACAGAAAAAAAAATGGTTAAACTCATCTTATACATGATCAGTTTTATAACTTTCTTTTTAATGTGAAGAACTTATCTGATGATAACTGAAAATTCTGAGAGGAAAGAGAAGTGGGCACTGTCAAGCAGCAGACCTGCCGATCTACACTAAGTACATCGAGCCAGCGCGGGATATCCAAGGACTACTGCATGTCCCCTGGGGCTTGCTGAACTACTGCTGGCTCAGCTTCCCACACAACGGAGTCACTGAGTTTAATCACTCCAGATACTACCCACAGTGATGGAAACTCAAGGTGGCCAGCACAATTATGCTCTACTGAAATATAATCCAAATACTGTACCCATTTTTACATGATTTTTAAAATTAGGGATACTTCACCCGGGCTCTGGGGCACTGAACAATAAAACTGACATTAAGTCTAGTAAGATGATATTTACACTGCACACAATTTGCTCCTAAGGGGAATCTCAATGGCATGAGTCCTTTTCATATTTGGGCGTGAAAAAGAAAGTAAATACAGAGCAAGCGGAGAACACCAGTTTAAGGAGAAAGATGGGGAAGGTACACACATGTAACAATCCTCTGGTCAAGCAAGCCTAACTGCTGACCACTGTAACCTGATTAGTGGTGGCAACTCTGAACATTTAGTATTTATCCTCTAGCATTTAGTATTGACTTCATGTGAGTATTTAAACACGGCATATTCACATCTAACACTTTAATTACCACATTTGAAATGGAAGGAACCTAACAGAGAGATGGCTTAGGAATAAAGGATCAATGTTGATCAAACAGCTTCTTCAATCCTCCCCTAAGCCCAGGACTAGACAGGATCTTAGACCAACAGGAAAGAAAGTTAGATGGGAAGAAGCTAAATCAAGAACAGCTCAGATCTAGAACAGAAAGAGAGAGGATCCAAAGCATGCACAACCTCAGGCCTTTACACCAAGGTGGTGATGTGCCCTGGCCCTCCAGTGGTTGCTGGAACTTAAAGAGCTGGCCAGGCCCAGGAGTGAAAGAAAACAGTCATGTGGGACCCTCATCAAGCAGAAGCTGGACCAACACAATCGAGTTTTGAGACTCAGGAAACAAAACTGAGAGACAAGAAAACTGTGGTATTTCTATCACCAACCAGACAGCAAGGAGCATGTGCCCGGGAGTAAAAAGAGGAGGTGGGGAGGGAAGGCTACAAAAATGACCGGAATACGCTGTGACTCTGGTATTCCTCTCGGAGATTCCCAGTGACAAGCACTGCATTTACCCCGGAACAACCCAGAGGAAAGCATGCTAGGCAGAAGACTATGGAAAGGGGTGGTGGAAATGAAGGATGATAAAGAGAGTCTAATGAGACTAAAAGGGAGAAGAGTTCTGTCTTCTGTTAACGTGTTTAATGAGAAATCCCTGCTCTCAGGCTAGCTGGCTGATTGGAGAATATTTTCTTTTGAAATCATACATATAAGAAATGTTTATCTACAGAACATTTTTGGGAACAACATACAATGTTTGCCAGACTTTTTACCCCATCTTGTCCTTCATTTTACAACCTTTGGGGTCATCTTAACTTTGTGTCGCTGTGAGAGAACTCAGAACTCCAGATAGGGAGCACAAGTCACCTTGTTCATTCAATCATCAAGTATTAAAGAGCCACTTTACACCAAGAACCACGCCTTTTTAGTAGGAGAAGCGTGTCCTGCTATAATTAGAATTCTGTCCATGTGAAAAGTTCAGTGGACTGCAATAGTTAACACCATTGGGGAGCCTCTTTACCTACACTTCCTGCTCTGGAAACAAGGCCAGCATTGCCTCTCTGAAATTTGAGAGTTAAATGAATCAAAATATATAAACCTAAATTACTAAGGTTTATTTTAAAAATTAAAAACATAGCCGGGCAGTGGTGGTGCACGCCTTTAATCCCAGCAGTTGGGAGGCAGAGCCAGGCGGATCTCTGTGAGTTCGAGGCCAGCCTGGTCTACAGAGCAAGATCCAGGACAGGCACCAAAACTACACAGAGAAACCCTGTCTCAAAAAACGAAAAGCAAACAAAAAAAATTAAAAATATAACTAGCAAGAAAGTGAGTGTGAAAATGGGGTAAAAATGACACTCTATCAGGAAAGGACGCAGAGGGCCCATACAGCATCACGGCATCAAGTCTTCTAAGGTCTTCACACCCGAGGAAACTTCTCCCTTCAGCACTTACTCTGAGGAGGAAACTGTACAATGCAAGGCTGTCAACAGTATCTCTACTGCAGCACGTGCGCATCACTGAAGACAGCTGAACCACGGGGTCAATCTGAGCCATAAGTGCACAGGAGCTGTGGTTCCCCACAACACAGTCAAATCAGACAGAGCACACAACTGCCCCTTGATAACCTTCACACAGGAGCTGTGGCTCCCCACAACACAGTCCAAATCAGACAGAGCACACAACTGCCCCTTGATTACCTTCACACAGGACTATAGCTCCCCACAACACAGTCCAAATCAGACAGAGCACACAACTGCCCCTTGATAACCTTCACACAGGCGCTGTGGCTCCCCACAACACAGTCAAATCAGACACAGCACACAACTGCCCCTTGATAACCTTCACACAGGACTATAGCTCCCCACAACACAGTCCAAATCAGACAGAGCAAATAACTGCCCCTTAATAACCTTCACACAGTAGCTGTGGCTCCCCACAACACAGACAAATCAGACAGAGCACACAACTGCCCCTTGATAACCTTCACAACAGTACAATCCAACCTTTTAGGAATCTGGTTCCCAAAGGATATGCATATTCACAAGCCAAGTGAGTGCTGTTGGGGTCTTAGTTGAGGATGAATTATATACTCACACACGATCTTGAGCCCTTAGAAAGTGGTCTTAGCCATCGGCTAAGACAGAGCTCAGGAGCTAGACTCCTGTGCCGAGAATCTCACCTTTGCCCCAACAGCTCCTGTGTGAACCTGACAAGTTGCTTAGTCGCTTGCTGCCTGCGGCACCTCATCTATGGAATAGATGAGCAACGCTTACCCCCTTGCTCTACACGTTAACGAGGTGCTACAACAGTTACAGACACCGATATAAAGGGCCTAGAGGGCCCGGCTGTTATAATGAGGGTCAAAGACTATGAATGGGACACAAAGGAAGTTAATAAAGTTAATACTGAAACCTAAAAACTCCAATCTACAGTTTTACACTGACTTTGTTCTTAATTAAAAGGCTCCGAGAAAAAAAGATATAAAATACTGTGGTAACGGCCCGTAAGAGCGGCATCACCCTACATGATGCCTCTCCCTCCACCCCTGGTGCACACAAGCACAGATGACAGACCACAAGTCTCTGTTCGAGGAAAGTTAAGTTTATCGTATGAAGAGTCTGAAAATGAAAGAATGAAGTCTGTGCAAATTAAGAAAAATTCCAGTGAAACTTAGAGAACTCCCAAGCAAGACACTACCTGGGTTCGAACTGATGGAGGCTGACAGGCAGTGGATACTCACTTTCGCTGAAGCAGGAGGCAGTAGTCCACTATGACTGGCACCATATCCTGGAGGAGAGCAAGGAAGATTATGAGCTCAGCCGCCCCACAGCCCACTGGGGAAAGCAAAGGTCGGCTTCAGGTGCTGCGGACTCCTAGGATGATACAACTTTGGACCGTGCTGTCCTCAAGCAAATCTGCACCCACAATTCAGCAGTTCAGGGGTGGAGGGCTTTTTAAAGATTTTATTTTTGTTTTATATTCATGGATGTTTCGCCTGAGTGTTTATCTGTTCACAACATGCATGCAGCCCACAGAGGCCAGAAGAAAGCATCGGATCCACTGGAGCTGAAGCTACAGACAGGTGTGAGCTGCCATGTGGGTTAGGGGAATGAAACCCAGGTTCTCTGAAGAGCAGCCAGTGCCCCTAACTGTGGAGTCATCTCCAGCTCCCCGCCCCCCCCAAAAAATGTTTAAATCCATTCTGGGTATCTACTGCAGTTATGTAACAGAAAGAGAGGGTGGCAATGGGCAAGAGAGAAAAGTAGTAAGAAATCGAATTAAATTCAATATAAACATGAGAAAAGAGTACAATTTTCTATTTATAGCATCATGTATAGTACGAGCTTATAGTTTATAATGACATTAAAATAAACAACAGACATCAAATTGAAATACATTTGGTCCTGATGATGCTTCGAGTGACTTAGAGTTACCTATGTTTTTGCTTAATGTTCTAAACTAACTTTATAGTTGATTTAACTTCTCAGTTTTATGTTTCAGAGTTCGTCATGTATGGTTTCATATCAAGTAGGTGGCAACTCATAATTCCGGCCTTTTTCAAAGAGTAGCTCATTATGGCTGAACACTAACGGCCCGGGCTTGCTGCAGTCCCCCCTCCTCCAGCACAGGACACCAGAGCTAGCGGACCACACAGAACACAGTCCACACTTAAGTGGACAGAGGTCACAAAGGAAAGCTTTCTTGCCAGAGGGAAGATCTGAAGAGGCCCTGCAACCCTGAAGCGATCACCTTGGCTCACTCCCCCTTTGTCAATATCCCTCATGACCAGGTTCATAACCTTATTTAGACTCTTCACAAACAGGACCTGCGGGCTGGTGAGAGGGCCCAGCAGGTAAAAACGCCTGCCGCTGGCCTCACAGCCTGGTTCAAACCCACACGGTGGAATGAGGGACCTGACTCCCACAGGCTGTCGTCTGATGTCCAGACTTTTGCCACAGCACCTGAACGCCTGCACATACACTCACACAGAATAAATAAGTACGGAAGATTAAGACCAGGAATGAAACTCAAAGACTCACTAAGAGTCAGAGCTACATCGGCTCTCAACTTTCTGGAAGAGAGCAGCAGGCTAGATAACTGGGTGGGAGTGCCTAGAAATGCTGGGGATGGAGGGGGGATCTAGTGATAGCATTTCAAACATGCAGGTAAGGGTTAGAAATCCCTCAGCAGTCAAGGACCACATTAGCTGGCCTGAAAACTTCCTGTAACTCTAGTTCCAAGGGATCCAACCCTCCGCCTCCATGCACACCTGCGCTCACACACACACATCCACATACAAGTACATACAAGTAAAAGTAATAACACATCTTTTAAAAATTACACAAAGAAGTGAAACACACGGCTGGGCTCTCACGAAAGAAAGGACAGCAGGGTGTAAAGTGGACGAGGACCGAGAGGCAAAGCAAGAAGCGTCACCAACCAGGTGACGCTGCAGAGGAACCCCAGTTTCAATGCTACAAAGAGGCTGAGAGGGAAGGGGCGGAAATGCCTGAAACTGGGATTCTCAAACACCCCGCAACCTCAATAAATGGAAAGCTGGAGAGAAAAACCTACCCCCGGCACAGAGGGATGGGCAGGAAGGCTGTGCCTCATGGCTAGGTGGGATAAATCTGTACTCTCTGAGACTGTCCCTAGGATCCTGATAACAGACAACTCTCACTACCTCCTTAGAATGGGAACGCCCAGGCCAAGAAATTAGGGTAGTGATTTTAGGGAAAAGCCCACTGGTCATGGGAAAGCAACAAATTCCAAGCTCCTCCAAAGTACCACCGAGAAAGCCGCCCTTAAAGCTGTGCTTAAAATAAAACATTTGCACATCTCCTGAGATAACGTACCATGGATGAGTGCCACTAGGGACTGCCAACGCCTGTAGCAAGACCCTAAAACTTCCCAGGCAGAATCTATTTTAAAAACCATTAGAGGCAAAAAAGAAAAGTAGAACTTCATCTCAAGTGTTCTTAGAAAGTAACATTGATGTATGGAGCCGTGAGTGAAGTGTTTGGGACAGAGGACATAAAAGAGGCAGGAAGCGGGGAGAGAGCAAGAGGAAGCAGGAAGAAGAGGACTGGTGTGTGCGTGGCTGGAATCCCAAGTAAGAAAATGAAAGCGCTGGAACAGAGCCGGTAGCTCAACAGGGAATTCAATAACGTTTCCTGAAATAAAAACACTTGCATCTCCATCCTGAACGAGCACACACACACAGGAAGGAAATGGCCCGAAATGACACAGGGAGACGCGGCGGCTCTAAAAATAAAGAAAAGGCCAGGAAGTAGACCTGTCATTTGGGAGAGCAGAAACCTCTCAGGCTAGCCTGATTTACGCCCAGTGACATTCAATGCCAGAGCTAACAATGCTTCCTAGATCCTTAGTGAAATGACCTTTCCATATAGAACCTGGAGACCAGCAATTTGAAGACACAGCTCAAGGAACGCTGCTCTCACAAACCCTGAAGATGCTCTTTCATCAATCCACAGCTCTTTCTACGTTCCTGCTCATTCCTACCTTCGCATTCCTTCCTATGGTACTACATGAATACTGATACCTACAAACGACATCCCCCCAACCAGGACCCCAATGCTGCTCTCTCTGGACTTCATTGGGACACGAGTGACAAGTGTGTCCTCCTGCGATCACACAGGACTGCTGCAGAGCCAGTGAGTGTTCGTCACTGCACTCGGATTCTCCCTGAGCATAAATCCAAGTGGACAATTCACCAGGATGACTTGTGTTTAACTAATAACTAAATAAATAAGTAGATAAATGTCAGTAGAAAAAGAGGAAAACTAAAACCCAGAAGATACGTACATCCAACAGATACTCAAAAAGAACACACACAAAAACAAAATAAATAAATAAATGAATACGGTACCCCCTAGGCTGACCACTTCTCGGTACTAAAAGATAACGAGATGACTGAAAAAGCCAGGCATAGGGACTGCTAAGCAGATGAATAAAACAGTGTCAACTCATACTAAGAAAGAAAGTTATAAATCAGTTTAGACTCTAGACAAGAAAGATATCAAAACAGATAAAAGAATGGGTAACTGGGCTGGAGAGATGGCTCAGTAGCTAAGACCACTGGCTGCTTTTGCAGAGGACCTGGGTCCAATTCTTAGCACCCAATGGTGGCTCACAGCAGTCTGAAACTCCAGTTCTAAGGGATCTGACACCTTCTTCTGGTCTCCCTGGGTACTTCATGCACATGGTGCACAGACATCCACGCAGGCAAAACACTCATGCACATAAGATAAATATTCAAAAAAAGAAGAATCATTAGCTTGAAGATAACATTTGAAACCATGAAGAAAAATTTGTCATGAAAATTGAGATGCTGAAAAAGAACCAAACAGAAATTGGGGAAATCAAAGAATAAAATACACAGACGAGGCCGGGTGGCGGTGGCGCACGCCTTTAATCCCAGCACTTGGGAGGCAGAGCCAGGTGGATCTCAGTGAGTTCGAGGCTAGCCTGGTCTACAGAGTGAGGTCCAGGACAGGCTCCAAAACTACGCAGAGAAACCCTGTCTCGAAAAACAAAAAAACAAACAAACAAGCAAACAAATACATGGACAAACCAACACAAAAACTTTAGATCCAGCCTAGGAATATGTCTGCATGGATGGGGGAGGACTATGAGGTCCCACCCCATCCTCACCCCTATCCTAGGCCCTGTTGACAGTTAATGGCTGTGAGAGAAGGGGAGTCATTTCTTCAGCACTGATACATTCCCCACAATCCAGTAAACACCCTGCATGTGCAAACAGCCCTGATTAAACTCAGTGGGTTACTCAAAAACAACAAGCCAGGGGCATACTAGGAAGAAGCAGGCTTGTAGAAGGAGACAGGAGAGGGGGCAGGGCAAGTATCATCAAAATAAATATATGTATGAAATAGTAAAAAATTAAAAGTTATTGGTAAAAGCAATTCCAAGGTGATAGTGCACCTTCAACCCTAGCACTCAGGAGTCAGAGGTAGATGGAACTCTATAAATTCAAGTCATCCTGCTCTATAGAGCAAGTTCCAGGCCAGCCAGAACTACATCCTGAGATCATGTCTCAACAACAGCAACAAAACCAAACTAAACTAAACAGCCGAAAATATCACCAGAGACATGATCAAGCCCAAGAATGGATTCCAGTATAGGGGACGACGTCAAGACAACAGCACACAGAGATGTAAATAAAAGCAATTAATAGTCACAACCCAAACTTCCAAGAACTCTGGGATATGCTCAAGAGACCCACTCAAGGAAGCCATGAGGCAGAAGATGAGATAAAGTCTAAAGGTATATACAATTTATTCAATGAAAATATGGTGAAGATTTCCCAGAGCTAGAGAAAGACATCCAAACCCAAAGACATTTAGATGTGACCACAGAAGAACCTAGTCACGGCATATCATAGCAAAATGTCAAAAATACAAAGCAGAGAAATGACACTGAAAGCTATAAGGGGAAAGCTTCAAATCACACACAGAGGCAGAAACACTGGGATAACATCAGATCCGTCACCAACACTGAAAGCCAGGAAGACATGGCTTCTACAGATTTCAAGCACACAAAGTGACTGTCGACTAAGCTTGTGACATGAAGCCAAGCTCCCTCTTCAAACTGACGGAGAAATGAGTGTTTCCTTCTTGACAACGGAGCCAGCACTGGAGGAAATTCTTCAGGGACTCTCTACACAAGAGAATAAGAAAATTGAAAAACAAGTAACGGAGCCCAGCAAGGATGAATCAATCAATCACCCAGGAGACAAATGAGAAGAA